GTCACATATTATAAATATTGGTAGATTGTGGAATAAGCTAATTATATGGCATACATAAAGAGAATTTACCTTTTAAGTTTAAACATATGTCTTGCAATTTGGACACGTATTAAAGATCCTATAGAAAGTAATTATATAATTCTTAGTTAGATAATATATATAAAATAAAAATGAAGCCTGTTTCACTCTTGTCAATGCTCTTTTAGTCTTTAGACTTATTTCAAAACTTTTTAGTCTTTTTGTCTTTAGAAATAATTATTCTAATTTAATATTATACCATCTTGAAATGATTCTTCAATATTTTCAAGTAATACAAGTATGTATTAATTTTTTTGGTTCTCTAAGATTTAAGTCCTTAATAATTTAATAAGAATCTTAAATTATTGTTCTTACTTTGTTCTAAAAGTGAATGAATTGTTCTACTCCTCTTGTTGTCTTTTTGAAGGTTACAGATTACCCACCTTTAAACTAAATTATAGGTTTTTGTGAGTGTAAAATTCCACCCCTCAACCCAAATTACAAGATGGCCTCAATTAAGAGTTGTTTGTAATGGGTGGTTTGAAGTAGAAGTAACAAACAACAAGAACTAAAGAAGAATAACACAAAACAAGTGAAACAAGTACAATCAAGTAATTATACACTACAAAACGAGTCACAGTTTTTTCACTGGATTCTCACCCAATAAAAAGTAAAAAGTAAAAGTAAAATTATATTTTTAGAAAGATAATTTTTTTATCTTTTCAATGATATAAAAAACATGTAAATCCGAGTTACTATGAGTAAGTTATGAAAGATTGAAAATAACAAGTAACAAATGGAAAGTTAAGTGAAAAATATTTTACCTCAAGGGTAACTTGTTAATAGATCAAGGATTCGAACCTCACCAAGGCTCACATGTAGTGTACATGGGTTGCCTAAAAGAGGCCTTGAGGCCTTAGTCTTATCTTCCTACCTACATGCAAGGTGCTACAATCTATATGGGACTTGTGCACCTCCCTTCTTACAAGGACTATACTAGCTGCTGGTCCTCCTATTTTCTACTAGTAGAATTAATATTTTTGCATTTTTGACTTCACCATGGTGTTCAAAAACACCCCATTAGCCTAGAAACACTGTATGGCCTTCAAACCTTACTCCATTTCTTCATAATGGCTCCCCAAGTGGTAAAACTCAATTTTATCAAGGTCTTGAAAATTATCCTAAAAATTCATAGAAAATTCTAAATAAATTTTAAATAAATTCTAAAAATTACTATAATATTTCTATAATTATAATATCCATTTAAAGATATAATTCCATATATTGATGATTTTTTATAGTGATAAAAATCAATTTGAATCTACTAAAAATTCTAAATAATTTCTGAATAAAATACAACTTATGTTAAGTTCTTAATTGGCACAAGTTGATCGTTTTAAGAAACATCAAATTTAAGAAAATTGTAGTATTGAAATACAACATCAAAATTAGTGAAGAATCACCATCAAATCTAATTTCTTTCTTGTCTTCAATACTCACATCATTTAATGAGAATATTTTATCAATAATTCATGCCTTTAAAAGCACAATTGATGAATTTGTAGATAAATTATTATCTGCAAATATTGATGATATACTTCCAACTTCAGTTTTAAAATGATACAACCAACTTCAATTTTAAAATGATACAACCGACTTCAGTTTTAATTACAACAAAATAGATTGGTTCATCACAATAATATGTATCACCAAAAATCAATATTAAAAATTATATTTTTCTTTCGTATAATCAACAACCATAAATCTATCTTAAAATTAATTATATTAAATACATGAATCATAATTAAGATTTAAACTATCTTATCTTTGATTATTTATATGAATTAATAGAAGAACATTTAATTCCAAATGATTCATTTTTTTATGATGAAGCCTTAAAGTCCTTGGATTAACAAGCTTGTATACATCTTGAAAAAGACATTATTATAAAAAATTAGACTTAGGATCTAAAAGAACTTCCCGTAGGTTTTCATTCAATCACAATACAATGGATTTTAAGACAAATTTAAGGAGACAAAAAACCTATAAAATTGAAATCAATATTGGTTGCCCATAGATTTTAGCATAAATAAAAAATTGATTATACCAAAAAATCTGCCCCATGTATTAAATAGAACACAGTTTAAAATATATTAGCTTTAGCAACTTTAGTTCATTAGGAATTAATTCATCTTAATATGGAGACCATCTTTTTCAATTGTGATCTTTTTAAACTAATACATATGGTCCAATTATAAGGATTTATAAAAGCAAAATTAGATCATAAAATATGCATGCTTTGAAAATCACATTATGGTCTCAAATAGGTTCTTAGAGCTTGGTTTTAAAAAATCAATACTTTTCTTCAAAATCATGGCATCAATTGTATAGAAGAAGATTACAACTTACATTATTAATATAACAATAAAGGAATTACAATTCTTATACTTTATATAGATGATCTACTTCTCATATACAACCACTTTACTTGTATTTATTAGCTAAAATTACAATTAATGGATAAGTTTGATATATCAAATTTAAATAAATTCAAATTCTATCTTAATGTAGAATTCCTATCAATACACAAGGATTTATTTTTGACACAACAAGCTTATGCTTTGCGTATACTTGCTAAATTTGTAATCAAAAATAATAACTCAGCATCAATTTTAATACCAAAAGGGCTAAAATTAAGAAAAGAAGAAGACTTTCTATGTGTTAACGTAAATTATAATTAAAAACTTGTAGGCAAAATGATTTACTTACTAAAATATAAATCAAATCTTATACATTCTAAATGGTTTTTTAACCAATTCATGCATTTATCAAGTCAAACTTATTTTCAAGCTACAAAACTGTCAAGGACAAGAACTTGATAAAGACAAATAAAAAAGTGAGACTTTTCTCAAAGAAAGGTGACAAAATAGAAATAACTCAATATGTATATTAAGAAAGAAACTGGAATGGCTATTGCCAAAAGACAAGAAAATCAAAGACCCTTGAAATTAGATTAGAAGCAAGAAAGGAGTTTACAAGAGTGAGGAGGGCTTCACTCTTGTCTCAATATATACTATCTTACTAGGGGCTACGTGGCGACGTTCTATAAGACCTCCAATATGTGTTGACTTTGTAGGCACATGCCTTGACTTACAAGACAAGTTTTTCTACGTATGGGCTATATAGTTAGCTTGGTCTTCAAGCTAACAACATGTGTGGCACATGGCTAACTTGTTGACCACGTTTCTAATCCCAAAAAGTCAATTAAAGACACTTATAAAGTCAAAGCAGTGTCTATTAAGCTTCTAGAAAGCTTCTATACCAAATACTATAGAATTAACTTATTTTTATCTACTTTTACTTATTTCTACCTATTAACACATGTAATTACTAGCTTACATGCATATGTCCATGACAAAAATATGTACTGAGAATATAAAAAAAAAATAAATAAATAAATAAAATCCTTAACTTTGAGATTCTTCATTTGAAAAATGAAAATACAAAGATAATGGAATATACAAATATTAATTGTGCAAACAATCTCAACAACAAAAAATCCTTAAATACATAATTTTTCAAATTAATAAGAGGACCTATTACTTAAGCTTCAAAAAAATAAACAACAATTGCAACATCCTCTTCTGATGCAAAAATTAAAGAAATTGTTAAAGGTATTAAAGAAGGCATATGGCTGAAAACATTTCTTCAAAGGATCAAAGTTAAAAAAACTGAATCAATATTAATTTGTTGTGATAATTAAAATGCAATCAAGTTTGCTAGAAATTCTATTTGTCATATCAAATTTAAACATATTGAAGTATGGCACCATTTTATTTAAGAGAATGTCCTCACAAAGATGGTTGAATTGTTTTATGTATTAATACTAGATCAACTTACAAACATCATGACTAAATTCCTTACTCAAACAAAATTTCTAAGCTTTAATCATGATTATGTAGTAACTATTTCAAAATCTTGCACAATCTTGAAAGCTTATTACTTCAATGTTAAAACTACAAATCTTGACCACTTCTTATTTACTTGTCTTAATCACCATAATAACGACAATGAATAGGGATTGTTCAACTTTGGCCAAACCACTTGCTTTACAATTTCATGTGATACAAAAAACAACAAAGCAGACAAAAGCTCAATGCAGTACAAAGACATTATGACAAGTGGAGGAGGTTCTCTAAATTGCCAATCAATAGATTTCATAAAATACTCTCTCATGAGCATGGCAATATAATCACATAATTGCCGCAAGAAAATGAAGGAAGCATAGAGCAACAAAAGACATAAACCAGTGCAATAATTTTACAAAAGGGCTCTTCAATTTTGTCTTGTGCAATAAACACACCAAAACTACATCTCTTTGAAGCAACAAACCTACCACAGAGATTTGCCGCATGGTCTTATGATGACTCCAATTCTCAAAGTTCATACAACAAGAAGCTTCACTTGCCATAATCCAGAGAGGACACTAAGTAGATAGATAGAAAAGGAATAAATCAGCATGTTTCTTCTGAAATATGTCACCTTGACAGATTATCAAGGTGAGGAGGGGTGTTAGTCTAAAACCATATGTCACGTATTTACCACAGTCAATAGTCAATAATAAAAACTAGAAGATAAGGTTTTATCTATTAGACACTGTAATTCTTGACAGTGCAAGTCACAGTTCAGAGAAATAAATATTGTACTGGATCCAAGTAACCTGAAACTCAAGATCAATTCAAGATCAGTTGTTTCTCTCCAATCACAATCATATGATTAACCCTGAAACTCACACGACCACCAACAGTTCATCGCAAGCACAAGACAGTGAGAAAACTGTTGGGTATGATCCTTTCCGGATCTAAGCCAGGGTAAAACGGGAAAAACGGTCCTCTTTCGGAATGGCGGGTATGAGGGGACGGGTCAGGGGCAGTGCCAAGCCCTAAACCCTGAGAGAAAGCGGGAGCAGGCGAGGACAAAGCAGAGGGAGGGCGACAGGGCGGCTCTCTCTTTGGGTGGTTCTCGCAGCTCAGCCGAATTTCCTGTTGCGCTCCACCTGCTTGTCAAGATGGTGACCCCTCTCATCAAGCGCGATGTCATCAAGAAGCGCGTCAAGAAGTTTAAGCGCATGCAGTCTGACCGCAAGATTTGCGTGAAGGTACTGCGACTTCCCTCTTTCGAAGGACCACTAATCAATAGAACTCTTCTGTTGTGCTATCGATTCTTGCAGTAAATACTTAGATTGGATCTCATAATTATGATTTTAGTGCCATTAGGGTTGTCCTGCTACGTTTAGCGACTCTTATCTTTCTAAGCGCGGATCTGTCTCACGGGAGCATTAGGTCTTCGAATTGATTATTGAGGTTATCGATGGCGTTGAGGCCGTTTACCTGGATTTTGTAGAGTGTTTCAGGTGACTTAATTGATGTTGTGGTTTAGGGTTTGAACGTGCCTGCACTACTTGTTGTTTGTGAAATGTCACATCTCATGAGAGAACTTTGGGTGAGTATTGTTTGTTTCAGACAAACTGGAGGAGGCCTAAGGGTATTGACTCTAGGGTTCGCCGCAAGTTTAAGGGCACTACTTTGATGCCCAACATCGGTTACGGCTCAAACAAGAAGACCAGGCATGTGCTGCCAAGTGGATTCGTTAAGTTTTTGGTTCACAACGTGAAGGACGTCGAGCTTCTGCTGATGCACAACAGGTAAATATACGATTGCTTCCTTCATTGAGGATCAATTAGGACTGGTAACCCTCTTTTGTTAATTGCCATCATTTTGGGGCTTCAGGCTTTGAATGAGAAATTCGATCTTACTGTTGTGGACATCCGAGGGCAAGTGATGTAAAGAATGGGTATACTGTAGATAAGCTTAATGTGAGATTCTGGAAGTCTTTATTTTGATCATCCCACCCCTCATTCTCGTTTCTTTCTCAGTGATTATGATAAATGGGAACTGAGCAATTACATGAAACGTCTAGCTGTGATTTAAACTGAAGTGCACATTTGGTCATACGATGATGCAGGAAGTACAGTGCTGAAATTGCACACAACGTTTCCACTCTGAAAAGGAAGGCCATCGTGGAGCGTGCAGCCCAGCTGAACATTGCACTGACCAATGGAAGCGCCCGCCTCCGCAGCCAAGAAGACGAGTAGGATTTATGAATTGGTGCATTTTTCGTGTATCTTTCTTTGTGTAGTGGACTTATGGGAATTTTTCACCTACTCTCTTTCAATGAAGAAGCTATATTCGTGACAACTCTACTGAAAGGGGACTCCTTCATCGGTAACATTTGGATGAGCTTTTATCTTTTTATTTCGAGACCTAAGTCTAGCGGGGAATGAATTGAATTGTGTATGCAGTTCGTGCACGGTGATTCCTGTAGTTTTGAACAGACTCGAGAAGTTTCAGTAAGATTCCCTGAGTGTTACTGCAACACCTGATTATCGTTGACCGATTACACCCCAATGAATTGTTCAATACAGTTAGAGCCAGTTTTAGCAATTCCGCTTTCAACATTCTGCGCAATTTGGTAGAGTACGAATGATGCTATTGGCCGTGAATGGTTTTGCAATTGCTTAACCGTTCATGTGAGAACAATTGGCCGCGTCCATGTGGTGGGCTCACATGAAAGCAGTTACCTTTCGTGTGAGGCTTTCACAAACTGAGGAGAGGATGAACGAGTAAATCAGAATTATGTTCAAGTAAAAGAATTCATCTGATGGTTTCATAAGGGATAGTACTGCATTGAATCAAAAAAATCGCACTCGTTCTTCTGCGGCCGACTAGACATGTCCACACTAAAGAAATTTGAGGTGGCGCAACTCAATAGCGGAAGAATATCGGTTTTGCGTAGCTCACACATGTTTCACGTGGTCGTGCTAACTGACCTTCAATGCGATGCGAAGAAAATTCAAATCATGACTGTCACTCGGTAAATTCTAGAACGAGGAGTGCACCCGAACGAGCTGGTCCTTGAAAGTCTTCACAGTCGCTTGTTTGTTAAGACGCACACACGCTTCTCTCTGTTTCGTTGTGCCGTTGGACGGCAAAACATTAACGCGACATTGCCAATGGAACGAACAGATTCGTTAATTTTCGAAGCTCGCCTTCTGCCTACCGTGACTGAATCGATGATTCCCTTCCCTTCACCGCCAAAGGCTTTTTTTCCATCGTAATCGAGATATCAGTGGTTGTTTTCAAGGAACCATCTACCTCCCACAGCGGTTTCACAGGACTGAGACTGAGAGATGATGCGCATCCTTCGTGGCCCTCCCACAGAACTCCCTGTAATCCGAAGTTCCGGTTTACTCGTAGCTCCCCAGCCAACGGGCCAGGAAGCCCCCATCCTGAATCAGCCTCGTACTCGCCTTCAGACCTAAAATGTATAAAGCTTAGGGAGTAACAACATCTCTCGTCATTAGTTTAAGTCTGATGCGAGTGAGAGGCTCCGTCGTGCCAGTCCCTCGTCGCAAATGATCCCTTACGCTATCTTTTGCACATAGAACACATCATGGTATTTTTGCAAGAGTAGCGTTTTTTTCGGCACTAGGGTTCTGCAACCACGTCGCGAGTTTCGCAGAGATCTGTGGGACTGATAGCGAGTTTGCAGTCAGGGTTAGCTTCGAGCGTGGAATCTGTCTGTTGACAGGGGCACGCGAGGCTGGGTTGGGCATAAGAACTGTGATGTGAAAGACTTTCTGACTTCGTGGCTGCAAGGGCAGCTTGGATTTCCTCACGGGGAGAACCGCTGTCTTTCATGTGTTGGCCTTGGAGGTGAGGTATCAAAGGCGAAGCTGAGTTCTCTGTAGGGGTGTAGGAATGTCGGAGAGAGGAAGCCGCCTGTTGTACCCAACAACCACTTTTAGACTTTTGTCTTGGCTCACAGTCTCTTGTTCTCATTCTGTCTTGGTGGTTGTAAGACATTTGCCGGAGCCAATGTGTATACCTGTCATTTTTAGATGGAGGCATTGATTCCGATTCAAGAAACCTGAAGCTCTCTTAAACCAGGGAACATATAAATAGAATATTACTAACATCTGCCGTAGAAAGCCGAGTCGTATGCATATGCGTGAACTGTGTAGCATAAGTACAATTTTAAGAAGCGTCTGGATTGCGTTCTTCCTCTGCGCTCCACCTCCTTCTGCCGCAAGCGGCCCATATCTCACGCCCTTCCTCTGCCTCTCTCCTAGTCTTGTGCTTCAAGCCTCCTTTCCTTTTCCGTCATTTCTGGTTCTTTTTTTTTTTACCTTATCATCCCATTTTTCGCCGCTTCCCTGTGTCTACTGTCCTCCATCTCGAATTGCTTCTTCCAAACCTCTTCGGGCTCATGCCCTCGGCTCAACTTCAACTCCTTTCAAACCACAAACCCTAAACCTACTCCACCCTCCACTGCATTTTAGACTATATCAGCCAAAAAAACTTTGTCATGAAATTGTTGTAACTTCCTGTTACAAATCCACGCAACCCCTTCTTTCTCTGCTTCTAAAGTAGGGTGTTTTTTGGGTGTGGGTGCTGAAGTCTGAGCAAACGATCCTCATCATCTTCCTTGCCTTGCTCTACAAGCTCTAGACTCTGTCTGAACCTTCTCTCAAAACAAACTAAACAGAGGCAAAATACGTTTTTGAAACAGAAGGAAAAATTTGAAAAAAAAAAAAAAAACTTCGCTCTCAAGAATAACAGATTCGTAGCTTGAGGCAGAACTTATGAGACTAATTGTGGGTTTAAAATGATTTTTATCAGTTTTAATGTACATAGTAGATTGTAAAGGCCAAGCACATATCTTAGTCCTGATTTGAAAAAGTTAATAAATTTTTATGAAATTTCCAAGTCTTTGTACGCAGGTTGTAACAAAACAACTATCCACATGAAAATGTCAACATTGAACCAAAAAAATCATAAGCAAACTTCTGAAACAATGATAAGTTTCACACATAATTTATCAAAACTTAGAATGTACATGTAACACATATTTTAAATTTATATATCTTGTAATTTTTTAAGCCTATGTAATAGCTACCCTAACGAAAGTAAAAGTAAGAAACATGAAAAATTATATTGCATCAATCATCCTTATTGTCTTCTTTTTTATTTTTATTTGTTGCTATCATTATTTCTATTTCTTGAAATTTTCACTATAAACATTTTGTATGTACTATTTTTAGCATTAGATATGTATATTGGTAATATCTTTTATAATTTAACACTAAAGTATATTTTTAGAAATTTAATGAAATTATAACATGTATTTTATTTTTTAAATAATAAAATACTGATATAAACTACTTATTGTAAATATTGTATTCTTGCAGTTTTCTTTTCTGTTTCATTTAACATTTAATGAATCAAATTTAATGGATAAAAAAAATTAATGATGTTTATTATAGTTTAAAGAAGCAGTAAATGCAACTTGATCTTCCATAAACCAGCTAATTAATTTATTAACCACCAATCTATTCATACATGGTTTCTTATATTTTATTTTATTTATTATTTCATTTCTCAAAACATATAAATGTAATTATATTTCAATATTAATGTTGCAAGGTCTTTGTTTCCTTGTTTAAAAATGAATAAATAAGTGTATTTCTAATTTTATAAAATATGTTGACAAAAAGTCTGAATTTATTTTCTGTCTTCTAACCAAATGTTTAGATTTATTGTCATTTAATATTTCTTATGAATAAACGAGTTTGAATCATAATTTATAATAATAATATATTTTTATATGAAATGCCTATTTTATGTTGTTGTGGAGAGAAAATCTTGCCTTAAGAAAACACTAGGTCTCTTACTGCAACTAATTGCTCTACCTTCTCTTAAATACTTTAAAAACAACATAAATCCAACAACATATGAATCCTCTCTAAATTCCCTTGCCCTTGAATCCGTCAACAAACTATATATCATAAATTTATGGAACAAAGACAAGAGAGCAAAACTTTCTTTGGAGGCCCTTACATCCTTTTCCAAAGTAGCTTGCTACTTTTTAAAATTCTAGATCCTATCATAGTCATAAACCCTAAACTCAAAACTCTAATCCTATCTCCAAATCCTAAATCCAAAACTTTTAGTTTATTAAAAAGTTTTATTTGTATTTTCTTTTTAAAAATGTGAGTTGAGGATTCTAGAGGATTGGTGCCATCATACTTACCAACATCATTAGCTACTACCAACTCATGGCTCCTTCTTCATAGAGAAACTATATATCAATATATTAAAAAAGACAAATATATAAAAAGAGTGGGTGTCACACATTATATTCTTATTAAAGAAGATTAATCACTTCCATTCACATGTGACAAGTGTCCTTGTCATCCAATATAATATGCCATTGCAAACATTGCAAGGCCAACCTTATAGATATCTTTAATAAACTAATCAAGGATTTTTGGAAAATATATAACTTCTATAAAACTTTGTTTCCAACAAAACTATGTCACTTCTTGTTGTTAAAACTTATACATCTACTTAAATATTTACTAAAAACATCCCTATTAATCTATTATTTATTATTTATTTAAATAATTGATTGTTTTTAGAATCTAATTTTTTCTTTAATTTTTTATCTAATAAATAAAACACATAATAAGAATTAAAATATCTTATGGACTTGAGGTAGTTTTTATATATTATAAGAATTTATATTATAACAACATTATATAAGCTTTGTTAGCATTTAGTTTTCATATTTACATTTTAAAAGTATGAAGTCAAAAAAATTACAAATATAATGGTGTAATTTAGTATCACCATTGCAATGGTTAATAAAAGTTAATTACCACTAACAACCAAAATTGATCCTTGCTCAAAGAATTAGGAATAATTATTATTTTTTTGTAACAAAAGTAATAATTGGTATTAAAAAAGTAAATTTGAATTAGAATCAAAATCAAATAATTTACAATTTCTATCAAAACTTACAACAGGATCAATATTGCTATAACGATAGTTGTGTCTTTAATACCATTAAGTTGAGATTTTAGTTTTTAGTTTTTTGTTCAAAAGTTTTAAAAATAAAAGAATCTAATTTTCTTTAAAGATTAAATTCATAAAATTGGGGCACAAATGCAATAGGAATAAACATCTTAAGTATGTTTTTAGAAATTTTCATCTTATTAATCTATGTAGCAAGAAAAGTGTACAAAAGAACCCAAAAGCCTCTAATATCTCAAGTTTTTTGTAAACCACAATACATTAGTGATAAAAAAAATCATAATTTACAACAAGATCTAAAGTGATAATTAAAATATGTGTTCAATAATTAATAAAATGCAATCTAATTGTAGTTATTGTACTTATTAATTAATTGGTAGGTATTTATTAATAAAAATATATTTTTTTTATGTTGTTGAAGGAAGAAATTTTTAACACAACTGCTATATTGACTACATAGAGAATAAAATCTATATGTTAGTACATTCTATCAAGTTTATTTAGTCAAATGAAAAAAATATTTATTTTGAATTATATGTTATTTTAAGGTAAAGAAATGGAGTTCAAAACGAAATACTAACATGATACATAATTTCATAAAAGAGAATTTAAATATAAGCATATTCTTAAATATCAATCTACACTTAAAAAAATTATCTTCATGACTGATTCTACAATGTTTTGTTTCATAAGCTAATATTTTCAAATCATAATAGTGTAACATTATAAAAGTTTGATGATAATGCCAAGATGGGTGTTTTGAACTTTTATTATTTTTTAAAAAAGTTATATTCTTTAAGGTTTTAATTAGAATCAATGATTTAAAAATATATATCTTAGGAATTTTTTTGAAGATAATTAAACTTAAATATGGTTGACATATAAAAATGTGTTTCTATATATATATATATATATATATATATATACATATACATATATATACTCTCAAATGAATTTAAGAAATGAAGAAGAAGAAGAAGAAATACCATTGTGTAAATTTTTAAAAATGTTTTAAAAATAAAAAAAATAAAAAATTCCAACATTTGGAAAAAATTCATTGCACAATACCACATAAAAGAATACAAATATAGAAAAAGTCTACACATGTAATGTTGAAGGATAATTAGTCTATTTTATCATCAAATTTATAAACTCAGGTTTGAACGGAGAACGAAAGTAATTTTCAACCCTTTCAAGAGTCGTATATAAAGAACATGAGTCCACCATTGATTAATTAATTATTTAATTAATCATCTAATTATTTTTATTATTTAATAATCAAAATATGATTGTATTGGAATTCAATTATATAGTTCAAGTACACACTCTACAGGCAAACAGAGCAAAAAGAATCAAACACAATTCCTCATTTTATTCCATTGCTTCAGATTCTGCAGTACTGTGAATCGCTTGTGAAGGTTTGAGCAATCTGCATCCATGACCGCTGCAGATTAAACGCCCGAATCCGTGCCCAGAAGCACGGGTCCCATTACCGACGACGGTGGTGATGTTCGATCCCAAGACTAGTTGCAGTTCACCGCGGGTTCCAGAGAATTCCTCCGACAAATGAGACTCAAAATTAGGGTTAGAATATTTTCAATTGGGCCTGGTGCACCTGGGATCCCGTGTCGTGGCGGAGGAGCTGGTGATGGTTGTAGCGATGTTGGATTGATCCGATAGCCATTGCAGACAACCATTTGCTGGAGATCGAACGAAAACCCTTTTGCTTTGTGTCCTTGGCAGTGAGGTTTCATGACGACGACGACAGGAAGACTTCGATGCCAACGAATTGGCTGCGATGAGTTCTTCAGCCCCGACAACAACTTGGAGAATTCCTGTACATATCACAGTGGGGTAATGTGTCGTTCGTAGTTTTGGTTGTTCTTTTTGCGTTGTTTTTTTTCTGGAATTTTTGTGTTATCTGTGGAGAGTGGGTCGTTATGCGAAGAGTTCATGGGTTGAGAAGAGTTATGAGGATTCAAAGGTAGTTGAACCTTAGGATCAGAGATTGGTGGAAAGAAGAATCGTGAGGTTTTGAGTCATTCATTTTGCAGCAATATGTCAAGATGTAAAATTCGCAGTGATTGCTTCTTATTGCTGTTTCATTTTTTTTATTTCTTAATTTTTGGTACCATCACGTTATTGAGGCTTTAATTGCATTGTTAACCTCTGAGGTATGCGTGAGTCATCTCGCCTAGTTCATTCAAATGGTTTTGTCGCTCGAACTTCGTAACGTATGACTTCTGTTGTAGAGTGTGCGAGATTTCATGTCATGTTTCAAAACTTTGATCTTACTTCTGTCGATGGATTCTGTGGCCTTGACTGGACGCCTCTGGTATATGTTTCGATTGGACAGCCGGTGAGTTATCGCTACACTCGTGTGCATACATTGCTTCGGTTTGTTCCAGTATGCATTAGTGGTGGTTGTTTACATCTCTGGCAGATTTTGTGTGCCAGTTTTGTCAAAGTTAGACACGATGCAGCTCTTGCTGGTTGCATAGGAATGAAGTTGTTGAGACGACTGCGGGGGTTGTGCAGCCTTTGTTTCACGATGGAGGGAAAGAGTGGAGCTGTTGTAAACAGCGCAGCCATGACTTCAGCGATTTTTTAAGCCTGCCTGGGTATGTTTTGATGTAGTTTCAAGGTCTAATTTCACAAGTATGCAGATTATGTATGTATAACTTTCTCTTTCTTGAGCATAGCGGTTGGGAGGGCTTGAAAGAATGTCTCTTTAGCATCATAGTCTAGTAGCGACTCACATAATACATGTGGGGTCTTTCTTAGATGCACAAAGGGAAAGCATTCATCTGAGAAGCCCGTAGTTAAGGCAGCTCCTAGTCCTAACGCTAGACTGCCGCAACCGATCAACACTGGTAACAGTGCTTTAGATGCCGCTAAAGCCGCATGTATACGATGTCGACAAGGGTTTTTCTGCTCCGATCATGGTTCGTTCATTTTTCTCTGTGTCACCACATTCGGTTATTGTTTGTACTGAACAGATCAATATTCTATGGCGCAATGTCTTCGTCAATGCAAATATTTCGATGGCTTCATTTTTCTTTACTTTATGGTTGTTTTCGTTTTGCAGGAGCTCAACAACCAACAGCTGGAGTTGCGAAGCCTGTTCCAGCAACCACTGTGCAGACCGCTGCCTCCGAAAGTTCAGGGATTGTAAAGAAGGCTGTGCCATCCAAGGTGTTCGATATAAATGCCAAACAAGTATGTAAACGCAAAGGTTGTGGCAACACGTTTACTGAGAAGGATAACCACCAAGAAGCTTGCAATTATCACCCTGGCCCTGCGGTGTTTCACGATCGACTTAGAGGGGTATGATATTGCATCTAATTTGTAAGTTGCCTTCAATTGTGTTCATATTCTTCTTCACAATCTGAGTCTTGAGATGACAATTCATATTTCTTTTGTTTTTGTGCAGTGGAAATGTTGTGATGTGCATGTAAAAGAATTTGATGAGTTCCTGGAAATACCCCCATGCGCCAAGGGTTGGCATGACGCCAATCCACAGGATGCGGCGTGAAGGTTCTTTTATCAAGATGGACCGCGTGCTAGTTGAATTTGTGGATTCTTTCTTAAGGAAGCTGCACTGACATTTCTGGTTGCTTTAAGGTTACACGGGAATTCATTCGCTTGGGTTTATGCAGTAGTTGGATTGATTACATAACCCCGTAAAGTAATCAGTCCTACTGCAGTGTGTGTTTCGCAGAATACTGTCAGTTGGGATTTACATGAAATCTATCTACAATCCTCCATCCACTTACACCATGGATGCATCTTTTAGTTATCTGGTTTGTTCGTTACACAACGTTTCTTTTGAATTCCTACATGTTAGCAGTTTTAGGTAGTAAGAATGAAGGTATTAAATTGTGAAGGATGGTTTTGCTATGGTACTGATGCCATCCTAAATCCAACATCAACAAATTTAATTTACCCACAGTTGTATACAACACCCCCTCCCTCTTTATATTATTTTATTTCATTTTATTTTATTTCGACTCTTTTATCTGTGTGTTTTAGATTTTCTTAAAACTATTTTTTATCACCTTTCAAGTAGAATTTGCATGATGTTCCAATTTCCAAACATGTTTCGTTGGTGCGAGTATTAATGTAAGAACACAATTTTTTTGTGCGGCAAAAATCACTTCAAAATATTAATCCCAGAAATTACTACTACGATTAAAAGATGGATCACGAGACTTGGTTGGACCATCTTCAGGATACAATTTGCTGTTCTCAACACTCAATAGTTGTATGCAACGAGTTTAAAAAGTTGAAGCAAAGTTTACTTAAAATGCAGTAATTCACATTACTAATAAAAGTATATTGGAATAATTTTGTATAGCTATGAGAAAACCCTTGAAGGAATTTCTATGTTTTTTGAAGAATCTGTAAGTGAATACCAAGAAATACTAAACTTATTAGGATGTTTTACTTCATTTCATGTAATTTTAATAAGCTCATCATTAATGCCTTGCTCTGGAAAGTATCTTCACTATTGGTAAAATTATAACATTACTCATATTGTTGCTGTAACACGCTTGCTTTGGGTTTTCAAGATGTCTTCAATGAAGTTAATAACTTTTTTTCACTCATAAGAATGATGTTGGGTAAATATTTTCATATACAAATGCAATAACATACTATTTGTTTCAAAGGTGCTTTTAAAGGCTTTAATGATATTTAAAATCCAAACATATTTATTCACGAGTAGTAATACAAAATTGTAGCTGTAAATGATTCCACATCCAAAAAAAAAAAAATTTAATTAAAATTTTAAAAATCACGTTGTTCTGACTGAAAATATCACAAAATCTGTTGTTTTCTTCTTCTTTTGATCTATTTGTAAACATAAAAAAAGACGTCTCTGTCCACCTCGCAAGCCTTGTTGCATTGAATGCATTCCTCAATTAAAATCAAGTCAAAAACATTGATAACAAGGAAAAAACAAACTAAATCAAGTTTAAAAAATGTAAAAAAATAAATAATTGGGAATGAAATTTCGAAATGAACAGTTAAGAACATCCTTTTACAACAAATCCACCGATATTGCAATTGCACTTGAAACGGGTTCTTTTCTAAAACTGACTGTGAAGTAACAACTAGTAACTAAACCTTGTTATTGTTCCCTGTTCTGATGTGTTTAAACCATGAAGCTCTACTGCTGTGATACTGCGTTTGCTTTGAGGTGGACAAAGCAGCAGGTCTGGCGATGGCGGGGCTAGCCGAGCTGAACCTGTCCAGATCCACGTGAAACTCCACTTCCTGGCGGGTCTGTGTCCTGGGCATTGCCGCCACTCTTGCGCCCAGAATTTGTCGCCATTTGGACAGCGTCGTAGACGAGTCCACCACACTCTCAGACCTCTCTCGCTTTGATTTCTAGCTCCGCAGATCGGGTACAGCGTCTGATGTTCCCATTGCCGTTTTGATCGCCGTGACGAGCGGCGTGTTCGACTTATTCTTCTTCACCTGCGCCACAAGACACCGCGGATGTATTCATATTCACGCGACTTCAAGTCTTGGAACTAGTTGGTGCGCTAGTTGTTGTCCTTCCTTCAATTCTGTGCCAAGTGTGTCGTAGTCTAAATGGTGTGTCAGCGGTTGAATCAAGAGGGATAAATGAGTAAGTACCTGTCCAATGCAGGCAACGACTGGCGACGTGGGGTCATTGCAGCTATCGACGTCAGTAGCTCCGTCGAGGAAGGAAGTGCGCAGGGAGTGAGTTCAGAGGTTGCACTGTCGATGCTCCTTGTTTCTGAGCTCCCGTTGTCGCCATATCTGGGTGCACAATCTGCAAATCACACCGTGGACATCTCATATCACCATGACCGTCATAACTACAAATTGAATCGAGCCTCGTTCAGTCTGCAAGAATCCAACTTCTTCGACTCAACACTGGGCTAGTCTGCAATCACTAGGAGATTAGTTTTCTCTCTAAGTCACACGCCATTATTCCGAAGAAATTGACTGTTGCAAAGGCGCTCGAAACTTCAGCTCAAGTTCCCAAAACCTCAACGAAGGAGGATAGCTAACCAAATTAGTGGCACCAGCTCGGAATCATGCAAGCATGTGCGCACCCCCACTGAAGCAGTTCACCGTGTCTATCCTCCTGCAACTTCAAACACCCCACCTGCAGCGGAAGCCTTTACATTCCTAACGTCTGTCCAAGAACCCAAGTCTCTGCTGTCGTGGGAAGTCCTCGGCTGCTCCATGGCATCCTCGGTCCAGTCACGGTGACGATGATCCACCGTCTCATCGGGCAACACGCACAAGATGTTCCACAGCCCCAACCTGGTCATGATATCCACAGTTCTCCTCCCTAGAACCGAATCCACACCCATGCGACCCTGTTCTAAGAGTGCCGAATTTCGAGAATGGTTTAGTATCTAGCCTGGCAAGCCAACACGCCCTGTGTAGCTAAGCGATTGCGTTTGACCAGACAATCACACCAGAGGGGCAACTCCCCGCCCTAGGGCCGATTCGTATTCCTCAGGAACGGCCATCGTAGCACGGGCATCCAGTGGAGTGTCCAATGCGACCATGCAACCCTCATCTTGATTCCGGAGATCCGAATCGGGTCAACAACACGAAAGGCATTCGCAAGGAGCCAGATGATAATCTCCGAGACCGCGCACGACGCAGCCTTCGAGACGTCGTCCACCGACTCTACCTCCTCTAGTGACCGGCACAGCCTGGATTCCTCACCGTGTGGCGCTTTGTCCCATGTCGGTTGCCACGAGGACCCAGTGACCTTCACGGTAACCGTCGACGGATCACTCTCCAGCTACCCCAGTGTCTTCACAGCCCCGAGGCAATTAATGGCTTCAGTGGGATTCTCTTCATAATGAGGGATGGAATTGTAGGAGGATAGGGTAGAGAACGACTTTTGGGTATTTTATACCAACTTATTTAGTTCTCTATGTGGTCGGTTTTTTGAAAGATGTGATTTTTTGTTGGGAATGAGGATCAAGTTCATCTTTTGAGGAATGCTTTGGTTCTAGCCATAGACCAAGGTTCACCAAAATAATTTGATCCCTGTATCTTAAGTCTCTCTAGCTTAATGTCTGTATGTGCAATGTGCAAGGTCCATGTTTACAAAAGTAAACTTAAATGGTTTTGTTGGTGCTTCTACATAATGTATGCATGTATGTATTTATGATAATTGAACAACAGAAATAATTGAAAATAACTCATTATTAATGGACTTATCAGGAATCATCAATAAATAACTTATTTTCTTATTAAAAATAGCTCTTGTAATGTGAAAGTGTAATTATTAATTATTATGGTCGTCATTGAGAATATGTTTTGTTTTTTTTAATTCATTTATTAGACAAAAAGTTGATTTTTCTTGTAGTAAAATGTCATGGTTGATAGTACAATTCAAAATTTCAATAAAAAGTCCAGAGAAATCTCTTTAGAAAAAAAAAAAAACTTTAATTCTTTTACACAAATGAAGCCATCTTTTGAGATTTTTATTTTTATTTTTATTTTTTTCAACATAATTTGGTTGTGTGGACAGTCAGGAAACGTTAAGGATGGGTGAACAAACGGATGAACACCACACATTACAACGAAAACACGGTGTCCATGAATGGATGTTTCTCAATCCTACCCCCCCTCCCCACCACTCTATGGCCAAAGCAAGCAACTGCACCTCCGGAAGGACGCGCAGTCGTAGGTCCCGCCACTAGTTGCCGAGAATTAAGAGGATTGGAAATGCAGAGGGTGGTAGAAACGGGATTCAGGACGAACGACGACGACGACGACGGCGAACAAGGACGAAGAAGAAGGGCTGCAAAGCAGTGAGCGCGAGAGAGCAAGGCAAGGCTAGGCAAGGCAAATCGAGGCTAGGTAAGGCAAATCAAGGCCAAGCAAGGCCAAGCAGAGCAAGGTAAGGCAAAGCAAGCAAAGCAAAGGCCAGCAGCAGCATAGTGAAGGAGGAGGAGCGAAACTCTGAAGTGAGGGAGGGGAGGGGGAGGGAGCCACAGTTAGGGCTCAGGATGGCCACGGCGTTGGCGGCCACCATGGACAACGGCTCGCTGGTGCTGGATTCTGCATTCTTGGCCAACGGAGGGGTCGATGACATGGCCGAGACTTTACAGAACGGAGGTGGTGGTGTCTCTGATGATGCCGGTGTTGTGGCGGACGAGGGCGGAGGTGACAAGGGCCATGTCGCCGAGGAGAAGAAAGCCAAAGAGGCTGAGCGGAGACGCAGGAGACGGAGCAAGAAAAAGAAAGGAGGCAAGAAGGAATCAGCACCGACGGCGGATCGTTCCGAGGACGGCGAGAATGCTGATGAGGTGATCTGTTTTTTCGTCTATTTGGTGTGTGTAGGGAATAATGTTCTTGCTGATGTTTGGTTTCTTTGCCGCTGCTCGTGCTCTGGGACTACCGATGAAGGCAGATATGTTTTTGTTTGTTTGTTTGTTTGTTTCCTGTCTCATTAGGGTGCAAGACGGTGTGAATTGCGTCTTAATTAAAGCATAGTAACGCGGGGGATTTTTTTTTTGTTTTATTAGAGTGTTTGCCGATTCGGGCGGGTCCAATTCAATCATGGTGCGGGATTCCTTATCCGCATGACAATCCGTGATGATGGGCATGGTGTGTGTGTGTTGCCTAGCAATAAAATAAAGCTGTTTTCAGTTGGAACTTTAGGTCTGTCTTTCAATTTGTATAGTTGATCAATTGAGCTATCATGAGTTGGAGGAGTTGCAGCTCAACTGAATTATTTGAAAGAAACCCTAATAGACTGATCACTTGCGGAGTAGTCACAATTCGAAAAAGCTTTCCCGGAATATATATATATATATATATATATATTTCTTTTACTTTCTGTCTTCTCATCGTTCTTAACCTAGTCCTTTTAAGCGTCTACTAGCCATCCTTTTCCACGTAAATCGACCCTGTACCATGAATTTGCACACTACTAGGTTTAAAGTTGAGATAATGTGCGATTATTCTCTGTGGCAGCAGCCAGAAGACAAAGTGGTGGTGGAATACGTATCGGACAAGCCTGCCCTCGAAGATGCAGATGGCAACATAGATCCCGCTATCCAAGATTTTCTAAGGGTTTTTGAAAAATTTGCAATACCAGAAGAGATGTTCCTCGAAACAACGAAGGTATCTATTCATTTCGCATGAACGATCTTTCACATCTCCCTCTTCTTATGGTTCAACAGCTTCTCTCATCAACAATGGAATTGTTTGACTTATTGAAGATAGTACTTTAAGTTTAGATGAAGTAGATATTTTGTTGATTCAGTCTTTCTCCTGGGCGAGCTTGAATAACTCATATCCTTATTCTTGGTCCGAAGCTTCTCATATGGTGCTCATAATTTTTTTGCAAAGCAGAACACCGAGCCAGAGGCTGTTCAAGCGGATGAACCAAAAAAGAAAGGGAGTGATTCAGATGAATCAGACGAGGATGACGAGAAGGATAAAGATAAGGGTTTATCAAACAAAAAGAAGAAGGTAAGATATTTGTGTATTATATCGCTTATGAATACCGCGTTTCCCATGTTAAATGAAACTTAACCCTGTATCCACTTACTTCATGTGTACGTTCTCATCGTGGTTGGATTTGACTTTCCTGGACAGCTGCAACGAAGGATGAAGATTGCAGAACTCAAGCAACAATGCATGAAGCCTGATGTTGTCGAGGTAAACATTTTGACTTTTCTATTAGTGGAGGAAATCGAGGCTTTTCAGTTAGTGGTTTTTTATTGAATACTTTTTATATAGATTTTTAAAGAAAGTATGCATATGTAAACTACGTGCCTCGAATTTCACGAGGTAATGCAAGAGTGTTTGCCAGTCAAGCATTTTCTTTTTCAGTTGGTTGTTTTGTTGGTTGGCACTGCATGTCGTATTTGTTAACTCCTGGTTCCTAGATCTGGATCTGTTAACGCATTTGATATTCGTTATTATAGGTTCGATTTTTTTATTTTTTTATTTTATTTTATTATTATTATTATTATTATTATTATTATTTTTCCTTCAGAAATCACGCTTTCTTGATGAGGTTGTTCATCTCCTAACAACCGTTTTTGCTGTTTTTTTTTTTGTTCGGTATAGGTTTGGGATGCAACAGCAGCAGATCCACGCCTTCTTGTGTTTCTGAAAGGGTATCGCAACACAGTTCCAGTTCCAAGACATTGGTGTCAGAAGCGAAAGTTTCTACAGGTTGATAACACTGCTCCTGAACCTTATGTATTAGGAAACTGACGTTCCATGTCCCTTGGAACTGTTTGGAGAGGTCCAGAGAGCACAAAAAGCCCGTATCTGGGTGGTTGTACGTAGAGAAGTTTACAGACAGCGAGCTGCCATTGCCTCTTATTTGGTACATGTGGTTCCTGCAGGATGCGGTTCATCACCATGTCTGAATAGTGGACGAAAGAATGGTATGTGGGTGGCTGTGGAGGAGAGCCTCCTGTTATGACTGACTTTTTTACATTTTTATATTTTTTTATATATATATCGAGTCAATTGTATTTGTTGAGTCGTATGCTACCCGTCACCTGAAGTCTTGAACTTCCTGACAGCTAATGTATGTAAGTGACATGAAATACATGCTTACAAACCTGCGTCATTGTGTTAAAACATTTCATAAGTGGGTAGAATTTGTCTATTCAATTTCAATCAACCTATACATGAAAGTTAAGTTAGTCATTCTACAGTGGAGCCATTTACCCGTAGTATCAAGTGCATTACCTACTAATGTCTAAACAATTCAAGTCCTTTTAGGTTGCCAGAGGTTCTTCTCTTTTTTCACGTCAGTTGCCTGAATGGATTTCATGATTCTCATTCTGGGCATTAGGTACAATTTTCTGGGCTTGCACCTCTTTTCATGTCGAGATTTGTAGCATTTGTGAACAATTGAAGGGAGATGCGAATGTCAATTTCCCTGAAAAATATAGGTGTGAATTAAAAAGTGTTGTACGATGAATGAATGTGATGTATTTATTGAAATGTCGTAGGTATCTAATATGTGCTTGGTGATGTTTTGAGTGCTTATTTTCCACTTATGTACACATGTCGCAGACATCACACCACAGAATTTGTCCTGGTGGACCATTTTGATTCAGATTTTGATTCGGGACTTGTTCTGATGGTGATTTTGTTTTCAGGGGAAGCGTGGTATAGAGAAGCAGCCCTTTCAGCTTCCCGATTTTATTGCAGCAACTGGTATTGAAAAAATAAGACAGGTGAGAAGAATCGTGTATAGGTTAACGTTATTACACTATTCGTTGAATATTGCCTCTCTTTCACGTTTGCAGTACTGGGTCATGCTAGAGGGTAGCGTACTTGAAAGCTTTGTTGGTATTGATAAGATGTTTCTGCCAGGGTTCTGACTCCAGCAATTAGGAGATTCAACTTTTTTTGATGACTTTTGATTCAAATTTAGTGTCTATATTTGGAAATTCAATCTGGACTCAGCATCTTTAGACATAACGGCCCTACTTTGTGTTATGCCATGTATTTAATATTTTATCTTATGGGCTATCAGGCTTATATTGAAAAGGAAGACAGCAAGAAGCTTAAGCAAAAGCAGAGGGAAAAGATGCAGCCAAAGATGGGGAAGATGGACATAGATTATCAGGTAATGTGCTTAAGCTTTCGGAATTGATGTGGAAATGGGATGGCTCTTGTTTGGTGCATTCGTCCTTTACATCAAAGTAGAGTATATCCAGAGAGTCGAAGTAGTTGGTGTTTAAGTTTATGTCCTGTACTTTGCAGGTGCTTCATGATGCCTTCTTCAAGTATCAAACGAAACCCAAACTCACTCATCATGGCGATCTTTATCACGAGGGAAAAGAATTCGAGGTACTTTTCCTCACATATAGCCATGAGTCTTTTCGTACGATCATATGTGATTGTAGTGTCCTGCATCTCAAGAACATTATAGGAAAATTAATGATAATTTCAAGCAGAGGTAAACCTCTGTGATTGGAGGACTTGTTGAAGAAATAGTTTGAAGAATGATGAGTTCATGCCTGCCGTTGTGCTTTAGGGTATTGCTGCATCTAACTTTTTGGAACGTGTTGCTGGTCTGGGACTGAACTTCATTTAAGGAAGCAGTGTATAATGGTTTCCTAGTTTTAGGATGAGCTAGTTTTAAGTTCTCTAATTGTGAGAACCACTCTAACGTTCCAGCTCTAAGTTTCAGGCTTGTATCGGTTGATTCTCTTTTCTACTTAGGTCAAATTAAGGGAGATGAAACCTGGCCAGCTATCCCAGGAACTTAAGGAAGCTCTTGGCATGCCAGATGGTGCGCCTCCCCCTTGGCTTATCAACATGCAGGTGCGTGGCTTTGCTTAAATTTCTTGTGCTTTAAGGAAGCATGTCTGTTTCTTTTGAGTCGTCATTATATCTCTAACCTTGACGTTTGTAATACGTCTGAAATGCAAATCTTAGTTTTTATTCCTCTGTTTTACTGCAGAGATATGGGCCTCCTCCATCTTATCCCCACCTTAAGATTCCTGGATTGAATGCACCAATACCAGAGGGTGCTTCTTTTGGCTATCATGCAGGAGGCTGGGGCAAGCCCCCTGTTGATGAGGTGCCTGTCTTTCCATCTCATTAAATCGATGCTTACAGTGACTATCAATATTGTCTTTAGTAATGCTTATGATCACCGACATTGTTTGTTTTTTCAAATTGTCTGTTTCTGACTGCTTCGATTGATGTTTACACAATGACTTGTTGAGTCTGGTTGGCAATACAGTTGTGTTATAGATTTTCATCTATTTCTATACGCTGAAATTGGGATCTTGTTTAACCAATTAGTATCTGTGGGGCTGCAGTATGGGCGACCCTTGTATGGAGATGTATTTGGTGTTCAGCACGTGGAGCTTGATACCTTTGAGGTATATTGCTTACCAGTCTTCTGGCTGTGAATGATTTAAATGTTTGTGCACAAGTTACTGCTCGTGACCAAATGCAAGAAGTTAGTATATTCTTTTCGCTTATCTAAGCATAGATGCTGGTGTGTGTTCACGGGACGTCTTCATTATGTATTAGCTTTCTAATCACTGGCTTCAGTTCTAAGCATGTTGTAATAAAAAAAATCTCTCAACAGTGTCTAATCTTGTCTTGAATGTTCTCTAGGATGAACCAGTCGACCGTACGAAACATTGGGGTGACCTTGAGGAGGAAGAGGAGGAGGAAGAAGAGGACGAAGAGGACGAAGATGCCGAGCTTGGGGAAGACGAAATGGCCGATGGTGTGTCTTCCGTTGACACTATTTCAACGTACGTGTGCATTACCTTTCAATCGCAGTGCTTTTTGTCTGAGTAGTGAACGTGTAATACTCCAGTTTCGACGTATTGTGGCCCACTGAGTTGCATGCTTCTTGTCTCTCCATCTTCATCTATGTTTCATGCCGTTATTCTTTTGTTTTTTGTGTATTAAAATGTTAGCTGTTTGAAATATCACTAGATTGTTACGCTTAATCCAATTTTACTGCAAGGGTTTCTCACTAATCTATCCTCTTGTTTTGAGTAGTACACCAACTGGTGTGGAGACGCCAGACGTTATTGACCTTCGGAAGGCTCAAAGAAAAGAACCTGAGAAGCAGCTATACCAGGTAAATAGTATGGACTGCAGGATTCGTCACTTCGTGTAGGTTATGACAATGAAAGTTTTGACCTTGATTACAAACGTCGGTTTGTCACACTGATATGGAGATTACTTACGTTGATTCTGCTGTACCAGGTTCTGGAGGAGAAAGAGGAGCGTGCTCAAGGAGGAACTATTTTGGGAACTAGTCATACGTATGTACCTGATTTAATTGCTGCGTCTTTTATTTTTATTTTTATTTTTATTTTTTATTTTTTATGTGCAAGCATTCCTCATTAGTAGTGTTTTTCAGAATAGGATTTTATAAGTGTTGGATTATGATCTTAAGTGGGTTTGGTGATTCAGATACGTATTGCCATCTGGTGACAAGGCAGCAGCTAAAAAGGTATACATTCACTATGCTTTTCTTATCCATCTTGGTGTTGTGTATTCTCAGCAAAAGAATAGTCACTTCGTCATACTTTCATGGTTCTTCCTTTGTGGAGAAGATCCTTGTGACATCTTTATCTGTTTTATGTTGTGTGATATCATTTGTTGCTGTTCAATCATTAGGGGCGCTGCATTAAAGTGTTTTGGCTCTTGATGTTTTAGGGTATCGATCTACTGAAGAGCCAAAGAACAGATAAAGTTGATATCACTCTCCGACCTGAGGAGTTGGAAGGTCTTGATGATGTAGCCCTCGCAGCCAAGTACGGAATTGAAATGCTTGACTCTTGTTTTTTTTTAACTTAAGTTGCATTGGATTGTTTCTTGGTAGCATGAATCACCCTAGTGGTAGCCAATTGTCGTCGTGATAATTTTATTTGCTTCATTCTACACGGAGTTGACAAGTGTTGAGGTTGTATGGGGTGTAGGTATGAGGAGGCTAGTCATGAAGCCACAATGGCCCAAGGAAGGGAAGATTTCAGTGATTTGGTTGCTGAGGTATATCCTTTGCACAAACATATCTTCTGTATCCTGTTATGATTTGTCGTATGTTTCTCTTGAATAAATCCCTAGACCTTATAAATCTGGAACTTATGCTATTATTCTGGCCTCAGGTGGAGAAGAAGCGGAAACGCAAGGCACAAGAGAAGGATGGTAAAGTTAAGAAGCAGAAGGATTTCAAGTTCTAGACCTGCAAGGACATCAAGGATTTTCTCAATTTTGATTTTGGCGGACTTTCATTAGGCTCTTGGAGAGCACTACCTAGATTCTGGACTTTCCCAATAGTTCCGTCATACTTGAGTTTGAGTCATCCAAAGGCTTGAGAGACCCTTTGTAAACCACAGCTTTTTCCTCTTGAATATGAAGAGGGTGAGCTCAAATGATTTACATTGGAATGAAGATACAGACAGACAAGGTGATCCATTTTGAGTTGCAATCGTATGCTGGCTGTGAATTCTGCTCTCTGAAGGATATAGTACCTATTGTATACGGATTCCCTTAAAAATTTATTAAAGCTCATTGTTTTTCTTTCCCAAAGTCGTTGTTTTTGACTTGGGTGGATCTCTGTATTTGTTACTGATAGTTCCCAAATTTTTTAAAATTGTTCACTCCACTTCAAAAAAAAAAAAAAATGCTCTATTTGTAATCATTTTTTATGGCAATTCCTCATACCAACATATCTCACTTTTAAGACTATCAAAGTTGGTATGCATGAAGCTTTGAAGTTCACAATTAGTTTTCCCAATTTTCAAATCTAGTGTGAGATAGATTAATCACTTAGTTACAGAGTTCATTGAGTGTTTAAACTCCTGAATTAATTTCTTTTTAAATGTATAATAATTGGATGGCAATTATACAACAATTATATGAATACCAAAATAATATTATTAATCCATATGAAATTAATCAATGGATCTCAATGGATTATATTTCATTATTACAAACTTAGAGGTTATTATATCTTTGCATTATTAGCTTGTAGATGTTGTTTTGGTTTGAAAATAATATGCATAAATACATGACTTCAACAAGTTAAGTAGATTTGAAATTCAAGCAATAATTTCTATTCATGACATATTTATGCCTTATCTAAAATAATATAACATTGTAATTGAGAACTAGCTTAATGTTTGTTTGATTGAATTGTGTTACAAAAATGAAACTCCATTCATGCTACAAATATGAATGTGTTAAGGGAGGCATCACTTTGTAGAACTTATTATAGGTTGGACAAGTCCTAGCTTGTAGTACAAATAATATGGTATTATTCAATACTTCTCTTCTGGAAGTGAGACTTAGTTCTCTATTAAAACAAGACCTAACATATATCTAAAAACTAAAAACTTATCTCTAGAAAGAGGTTGCATGAAGATATCTACCGCCATTTGTTCCATGGAACAATATTCCAATCCAATCTGTCATTTCTCCATATATTGTCTAATAAAATGATGTTCTGTATTCCAATGCTTTGTACAAATATGGTATGCTGGATTCTTAACAATAACAATATCATTTTGGTTATCCTTATAAATGAAGATCTTCTTTGGCTTAGAAATGTCATAAATTCCAAATACTTTACAAAGCCACAAAATCTCTCTTATTGTAACATCCAAAGCTGCATACTTTGTTTTTGTTGACAAAATGGAAACTAATGATTGCTTCTTACTTGACCAAGTAATAATTACGCTACCTAATATAAATGCATAACTACCTATTAAACAATGCATCTCAACACAACTTCTTCCATCTACATCATTATAATCCACAAGTTGCAAAATTGCATGCTTATCTTTGTATTGCAATATCAAATATCTTATTCTTTACAAGTAACAAAATATTTGCTTGATCCCTTGTCAATGCAAAACATATGGATGTACCATGTATTAAGTAAAGTATTGACAAGAAAATGCAATATCATACCTTATACCATTTGCAAGGTATAATAATAAATCTAAAGCTTTCTAATAAAGCTTTACATCTTTTGCATCCAAAAGATTGTCACTCTTATACTTAATGAGATGACCTTATACCATTGGTGTGGCAACTATCTTTGCATCTTTGATTCCAAATTCTTTCAACTTTTAAGAAATGTATTTAATTTGGCTCAAAATAATAGTACCATTCTTCTTATTTTACAAGAAATCAATCTAAAGGAAATAACTTAGTTCACTGAGGTCTTTTATCTTGTAATACTCTTATAATTCATTCTTGCATTTCACAATGATCTCAAAGTTCTTGCTACCAATCAACACATCATTGATATAAGTAATTAGTATAAGAAATAATCCATCAATGTATATTGTATACAAATAAGGATTTTATTCTAAGTGCTTTCAACAAAGATTTAATAAAGATCCATCTAAACTCTTGTTCTATCTAAGTCCAAATTGTTCAATGAAACCACCATTATCAAGCTTCTTTTTAAAATATCCATTTTGAATCTACGGCTTTCTTGCCATTTGGTAAAAATGAAAACTTTCATGTACCATGATCTTTCAAAGAATCAAGTTCTTCTTGCATATCATGCTCCATTTCTTGCAAATATGTGAGCTCATAGCTTCTTCAACAATTTTTGGTTCTACATGTTTATCAATATAAACATCATCATCTATTTGAATTGGCACATCTCGTTGAAAAAAATTGTTATTATTTTTCAAAGGCATGCAATGCATCCTACTTCCACTTATGATATTTATTAAGTCAATTTCATCTATATAACAACATTTAGGTAGTAGAATTTGAATAATTACATCTACTTCTAATTTATAGAATTCTATTACTTTTGCTAGTATAGAATTTGCTTTTTTGTCAACCGTTTTTCTACCAAATCCACCATATACATGTGATCTCAAGGCTTGAGATTTGGATATTTCTAGCTCACTTGGATGTTGAAGATCAAACAAATTAAGCTTATTTCTATGATCCTTATCTTCTCCATTTTTCTCTTAAGGAGTTGGTGGTTCACCAAGTAACTCATCCTTGTCATGAAAGAAAATCACATCTTAACTAAGAATCATCTTCTTCTTAGGTAGAAAAAACTCATATCCTTTTTCTACATGTAAATATTTGACAATAAATACCCTCATTTGCCTTTGCATCAAAATTTTAATGTCTTTCTTTTGGTATGTAATATTAAACAAGATAACCAAAATAATGAACTTATTAAACGAAAGATTTCTTACTATAAAAAGCTTTATGTGGTATCGTACTACTAAGTCTTGCAAGTGGAGGGCAATTGCAAGTCTAAGTCAAAAACTTGGCAACAAATGCCTAATACTAATAGTTTAGCTTGACATTGTCTAGAAGTATTTGTATTCCTTCAAAGATAATTTGCATCATATGTTTTGTAATGCCAAGAATCTCATGTGTATATACAAAAGTAATTGTGCCAAATACCTTCAGCCTTGAATTGACAACCAAACTTATTATATAAGAATTCAATGTCTTAATTAATGAAAGATTTTTTTTTTTTTTTTTTTTTTTTTTTTTTTTTATCAATCCGCATAAGTAATTATTTGATGCCACCAAAACTAAATATATCAAAATAACCAAGATTAAACACTATTACATCTAATATACTACTATCATATTTATATTTGTGTAGAAAAGCCTGCCTATAGGCCTTATCAATAATGTACAATTTACATGTAGATGTCTTTTGCTTCTTACCCTTAATCTTCAATCTTTCAACATTCTTCATTCACTACACCTCTTGTATTGTATATATTGAAGCATGTGCTAATGCTTGATGCTATTTAATCAATATATAATTTGAAATACATAAATTAGCAACTATGATAACTTCATTAATTTTAAAAGATATAAGATAAGCTTTATTACTAAACATGCCTTGTATGGATAAGTCACCTAAAAAAAGAATCTAATTGATTTTAGTATCATCTAAATTCAATTTGCAATCTTTCTTATACAAGATTGCGAGTGATCAGAGAGTATCACAAACTCAAAGAATCCAATGCAAATCATTCATAACAATAGGAATATATTCTTTTTAAGATCTAAAATTGTCAAGTGCATCTTATCTAAGTCTTGGGATTTGCTAATGCTACCATTGTAGCCTTGAAGTTGGATAGTCACATTTTCATTAAAATTAAGAAGCTTGTTTATGTCCCTTTTAACATATACATCCATTGCATTGTTAATACAAACATAATGACATGATTGAAACAATGTTACAATTATTATTTGTAACTTACATAATGCTTCTCAAGTTGAAAAAAAAATAAAAATTCAAATATTTATTGTACCACCACTATTTGTTTTAAGACACTTTACATCACCTTGCTACTGTCCATTTTGTCTACAAACTCTATAAGTGCTTTTGGACTTATCAATCTTGGGCTTTTGCTTTTGTTGTAGATGGTGCTTCTTTAAGACTTGCTTTCCTCTTGCATGTAATAGTAAGGCAAAAAGCGAAGAACTAATCTTCTCTTTTCCTTGCATCTCATCATCAACGAGTATAGATTGGACTACTTTGTCCATGATTTCTTCTTATTTTATCAATGCAATCATTAAATAAGCAAATTCCATGATTTTGACAATGTAGTAAGAATAAAAAATTCCATACTTTATTTGCCCATTTCACCACCCAATTTAATGTATTAATTCTTAAGATAAAAAATCCCTCCAAAAAAAATCTTTATGGATTCTCCATAAACATATCAAAGATAGTGAAGTTTTTACATGTAAAATATCTCAATAATAATTCCTGAGGACTTGTAGATCCTAGCCAAAATATTTTATATTTCCTTTACACTCTTATATTTGCATATATGAATCAATTGTACAGACTTGATATTAAGGGCAATCAATGCTTGTGCTTTTGCTTTGCTTGATTTTCAATTTGATTTTTTATCTATATCTATAGAACATTCTAATATTCCATTTAAATAGACATAGAGTTTACAAATGCATATCAAATGCTTTATAATAAACGTCTATGTGCTATAGTTCTTCTCCTCCAATCAATCAATACAATGGTCAATTAAAGATAATACCATCACCAAAACAACTAATACAATAGCAAAAAATAATAAGATTCTTTAACAATAACAAATCTTGTAGAAGCTATGGAAGAATAATTAATAAATATAGTACTAAATACAATAATAGAAGGTGGTGATACCAAGCTAAGATAAAACAAAACATCACTTTTTTGATATCAACAACAAATGAATTCCAATAGAAGTCACTATCAAGAATAGTAGCAAGATAAAGCTTTGACAATGATAGAATTAGAACAATTTATCTACAAAAATTCATCCAAAAGTTTCATCCAAAAGTTTCATCCATGATTTTTTTTCATCTAAGACTTTGATACCATATTACAAAAACAGAACTTCATTCATGCTATACAAATGAATTTGTCCAAAGAAGGGAGGCAACGCTTTGTAGAATTTATTAAATGGTGAATTAGTCCCAACTTGTAGTATAGACAATTTGATATCATTCAAAAAATTCATTTATAAAGTGTTTTTAATTTTTTTTTAGTATTTAATACACGAGTGCATCTAAATAGAAAAAAACTATTATTTTTTTAAGAACAATAAAAAATTATTTATTATATAAAATTAAATCTATATTTATCTATAAATCTAGAAATGTCAATCTTTACTATGAAATAATGTCATCTATTCTATCATGGTAATCAATTTTATTACTAAAATCTATTTTATTACTAAAATCCATAATAATGGATTTAAATTCATATCACAAGATTCTAATAAAAATTATTAAACTAATAGAGATGATTTTGCATAGTTTTGAAATAATAAACTAATACTAAATTTTACCACAAATAGTAATAATAATAATAATAATAACAATAATGCAATCAAAAAAATCAATACAGTTTATATGATACATGAAACAAAATACAAGATAAAATTAATAATACTGATTATAATTTCTTTATAAACTCAATTAACAAAGCATTTAACTTAAGACAATGGATTATGAAACAATAAATACAAAAATCATATACCATGGTGCAATCATAAAGAATAAAAAATAATGTTATAACAATAGAAGACATTATTCTATTATAAGAGAAATTAAAACCAAAGAGTTAATCAAACCAAACCTTGGTCAACACATATATCCATACAATATCTCTTACAACACAAATAAAAAAATATATCACCATTAAAAGTATATCTACCTACATCTAAAACATTATATGGTCAGTTTTGCAACAATCTCAAACAAATATTGAGATACTCCATAGTAAAATCTACCCCTCGTTTTTTTCATAATATCAAAACTATCCCTCAACCTAATAAGCTATAGCAATTTTTTTTTTTTAAGTGCAATTGACGCTCAACTTGCTTGCCAGGGAGAAATTGACAGCATTTTTAGGCACAGGAAAGTGCTGCTGTGCATCACTGGCCTTCTTCGCTACCTTCTGTCGTCATTGGTCGAAGAAAAACATCGACCCCTGCTCCAAAGCTGGGAAGGAATGCGGGGTCATGGTGTGGCAACGGAACGCCGTGAAGCGAATGCAATGGGAAGGGAAATAGGAAAGTGAATTTGTCACTGAATTTAGGTTTTCCACATTTGTAGCAGAAGAAAGGATGTGATGGAGCTTTGGAATTGAGGATGTTGCGTCAAGCACAACTTTTCTTCGTATGCGGCGCGGCAACAAGGCGATTGCAGGTGTACGGTTTTGAGGCATGGTTGTCTTCAAGATTACAATAACAAGGGTGCAAGAAATCTAAGTGATGATAGGGATTTGAGTTTATTGATCACTTCTGCTCTTGTCGGTTAGAATTTTAGAATCCAATCCCATAGCAGCATCATGAATGAATTCCCTGAAGAGTGAGCAGGGACCGATTTTTTTCAATCACGGACTTAACGTGCTCCGCATTCGGAGCAAGTTTGTCCAGTTTCTCATATGCCAGCCGCAAACTAGCATACTAGAAGCCGCATACTAGCAGCCGACCAAGAGAAAGTGCCCACGCAGACATACTCCCGTTCATACTTTGATTCATACTCTCATTCATGTGCGTACTCACAGATTGGTAGGGCACCACTTTCAAATGTCTAACAGTCTTATCAGGGGCTATGGCAACTGCTGGAAGATCAGACGCATCTGATGTCCAATTTCGATCTCCTTCAGAGAACCGTCGTAATCTAACCGCGAAAACAACATGCGACCTCTTGATAAGGTCATTTTGGCATTGAAAATGTCATGTGATCTCAAAAAATGAAATTGATCTGGGTGAAACCACTCTTGTCGAGTTCAAGTCAAGTTCTGCGTTATTGCACAAGCCAAGTTTACGCACAAAACCATTCTCAAGCAACTGATTGGAAACCAATCTGCTTTGAATGTTGTAGAGAGTCACAGCGTAGATTATTACAAAACATTGTTACTCAAAAAGATAACGATGGGTTCTTGACCCAAGTCTGTTGATAATTTTTGCTGCATCATTCTGATATGTGTGATACAAATCCACCAACCGCAAGCACATTCAAGGCATGCATTTTCTTCAATTTTTCATGAGGGATTGCATGTGCACGTAGGTCCTACATTAACTCGAGTAGCCACTTTCAGTCACTGCTAGGAGCGAGCATTGAAGAATGTCAATTGGGCGTGTGAACGGTCTTAACAAGAGGTAATGCATTTACTATCCTAATTCACGATTGCTACGTGTGGCATGCGAGGAGCAGTATGCCAAGTCATGTGGCAGTCTGGTATCGTTTCCTACTAGTTGCAGGCTCATTCTCGGTTTTGTTGCGATTTAGCCAGGATGACCTCTCAACTGCAAAGAGCTCTGCGGATGATCAAAAGGTAGCGCACCTTCTAAACCAGTTCTCAGCTGTGCCATCTTGATACGCTGCTCCCCTCGCTTCAAAGAAAAACCTCTCCACCACCGCCGAGAGGCCATAGAATGCAAAAGCGTTGGTGCAGATTGGAGAAAGGAGGTTGGAGCGAGGGGTGGCATGCTAAATGCGATATGGAGAAGGTCACCCAAGCGACGAGGTCGTCCAGAAGCTTGTGGAGGAATGCGAGGGAGTGGCACAAGTCTCGGTGTCGTCAACGATGACCCAATGCGGCGAAGAAGCTGGCCAGTGCTGCCCAACATTTCCCTGTGCGGAGAAGTGCGGAAGCGGGCCCGCCGATTTCTCGGCGGCCGCATGCAGTTTGGGCCCCAATTGCAATTGAAAAAAGTATTATTGTGATAGCATATCAGAACGAGTAGTTTTGATAATATGACAAAAATGTATGCTATTATCAAAAATACAGGGGTATTCTTGATATTTCAACATATTTCAGGGGTGAAAATGATAATTTCCCTACCCCATACAACATCAAACAACCCACCAAAAACATCCTCTAATCTTTTGCCACAGATTCGAAACTGTATTCTCGTATTTACACAAGCAATTTTCTTGAATTCAGCCACGTATTAAGACACATCTACGAAGACAAAAACAAATATCAAACAAAACAAACTTCAAACCGAACAACCTTCAGACTTTCAAACAAAGATGTGCTCAAAATCAAAGTCCCTTTCTGAACTGGAAATTATTGTCACATATACAAGCGACACGTCTCTCCCACAGCATTCAATGACGTCCATAATGGGTCCGAATTGCGTTGGTACCAACGCACACTTGGCAAGCAAATGGCCCACAACAGGAGAGGGATCACTGAAAAAAAACTGCGAACGTAGGAGAGGCCAAACTCACACACGAAAGCACTGCGATGTGATAGTCGTCGAAGTCAAAACCCACCCAACGCCGCATCGGAGCCATTCGCAGAAGATCGGAGGATTCCTCAAGATCAAAAAGCGTGATGCAAAACCCACGCGTCGAGACCTTGCCGATGGGCTCGAAAAGCGCAGGCCACAGCCCCTTCGCGAGAATGCAACTGCCACGCTCCCATGACGAACCTCCTGCCTCGGCCACTTGGCCGCGCAATCCACCCTGCGCTTTATCCACGGCCCTGGGTGAATCTCGCCTCCCATTGCCTTGCTTAAATCTGTCAACCCTTCAACTCTTCTCTTCATTCCCGCTCAACTTAGAGATCGATATACTACCTGCTGAGCAACAATTGATATTTCGTGAACTGAATTTTGTACTCTTTAGTCGTCGTGAACATACAGTCCTTGAGTTTCTCAGGCCGGTCGAACACTCTTGACTAGACGATGGCGTCAGTGATGAATGCTTCCAGGACAGTTGCAGCTGTAGCACCTGCGACAGTTGTTACCAATGCTTCTAGACTGAAGCAGATGCCTGCTAGTGTGCGGATTAATAATGGTGCGTTACTGGGTGTCATACGACAGTCGCTTCCTGTGAATTTTGATGTCATTGTTGTGTGTGCTCTAAGTTCCATCCTGCAACACCTCAGACATCGTCGATATGAAGGATCAGTGTCTGCAACAATTAGACTACGATGGGATTATTTCCAGCAATGGATACTTTTGTGATCGTTAGTCGTGATTAGCATCATTCAATGAGGATTGACGCATCTATTTTTGTGTCCAGGCGCGGTTGCGTTCAAGAGAGCGTCAGTGGTGGTGAGGGCAGAGGGTAAAGTGGAGCCAGGCCCTGCAGGACGGCAAAACGCACCCAGCACTCCCCACTCTCCCCCGGGCATGAGCGGCAGCGAGGCACCTTTGGGCGTCATCTCCTCAACCGTCCCTCTCGAGCAGGGCTCTGACAAACCAGTGAGCGAGAGGATGGCGTATGTGTGCCAGGACTGCGGGTACGTGTATGACGAGGAGAAGCCTTTCGAAGATGTGCCCGACGAATACAACTGCCCCCGTAAGCCCATCTTCCCCTACTTCAGGCTCCATTCTCTTTCAACGCCCACTGCGCACGTTCTGTCTTGAATAATGTCTCTCCGCTTGTGGCTTTCGATGACTTTTGTGGGAGGTTTCTTGGTTGGGTTTCAGAGTGTGCTGCCCCGAAGACGCGATTCATGATGTCCAACGCATCGGTGGGCGAGATTTTGGACACAACCAAGGAGGACGACGCCGAGTCTCGTGGCAGTGGGGTGAAGAGCGGCAGCCCTCCAAACGAGAACTAAGCGCATCGCACAATCTTGGCGTTGTTTCTGTACAGTAGCAAGAAGGATGTAGATTATGAACGGCGACGAACAAGTTTTGATGATCGTAGCTCCATCTTTGTGTTACTAGCTGATTTGCCGAATTCACCGAAAGTCGGTGGAATGTTACCATAGTGTGCTATTTTTTTCTGTGTATTTGTAATGAATCGGACCAAAGAAATATATGTCATCGGTGAAGATGGCCGTGACAGATTTGCTCGATCACTCGACAAAGCTTCAGTTCACTGATGTGTAGAAACATTCGTTGTTGCCATTGTGTGTGCACAAGTTACTCTTAGCGTAAGAAACTTTTTTCTAACCTGAAAATATATTCATGTAGACTTTGTGTAAAATATGTTTTATGAAAACTATATGATGTCAACCCTGGAGAATGCCCAATGAGGTAATGTAAAGTTCTTGTCCGGAAAATCAGTGAATCAAAGGATGAATGGAAAGATACGATTCATTGTACTGTCTAAGGTTCTCAGAGTTTCATATCCACATTTATGTGGAAGTTTCTAGCAATACTTCTTATCTGGGCGTGTACTGCAGAAAAACAATGTTGCTCAAATTGACATTAGTATCAGGAAAAATATTTAACTTTGACTACATGGTTCTATTTTGTTAATCTACTTAGTTGAATGTGTTTACACTTATTAGTTGTTAGAACACAACAAGAAACTGTTATGGATCATAGCGGATGTGGTCTACTCCTGTACTTGTAAGTTCTAACCAAATTTGAAGAATTTGTTTTTCAAACATGAATGAGTGAAAGAAAATTCATTTGTATTTGAATGGCTCATACTTTTGAAGATTTTCTTTCTTTTGAATATTAACTAATAAATTTTGAAACCATTAGAATTATTTTGCAATAAGATTAATATTTCTGTAGTTTTTTGAATTTATTTATACTTTGAAATATATACGTTTTGTGTATTTTTTTACTTATCATGTCGTCTCTTTTTATATGTATGTAATGATTGTGTATAGAATGTAAAAAAATGTATCATTATATGAAAATTTTGATGTAATAATATACATATAATTATAAAAAAATTAGAAAAAATTAGCTTGAAGTCTCAGAGATATTATGTGTGATACAAATGAAATTTCATCAGAAAATAGTATACATATTTTAAACATGGTGCTTGTAAGATGATATTATCAAATACATTTAAGATAAGATTTGTATGTAAAAAAAATCAACTGTAATATTAAATCATACAAAAGATACAATAACTCTGTATAAATGACAATCAAATCACTATATACAGTTTTATTAATTTCGCAAATCGTTTATCTATTTTGGTTGTAAACGTCTTCTAAGCTATCGGCATTCTATTCTAGTCGTACAAGTAGGTCCTTTCGTTGTTAACTTATTTGTTGTTCCTTAATTGATCTCTTGTACATACCACTGTACTGAATGGGAGTGAGCTAATTCAATTTTCAAGTGCGTTGGTTACTTTAGGTTTTGTTGTTATCGGAAAAGGACACTGTGTTGCATTGTACAACAGAATACTTTCAATTTGATTGTCTTGGGTTGTTTCTCAAGAAACAGAATATTTTCCTCACAAACTATTAAATTTAAACTTTATTTTTTCACTTCATTGGTTGCCAAAAAGAAATTATTTTTGTAGTAAATTTCTAGTAGAGCTTAACTTCGAAGATATTGTACGTTCGAATGTTTCGTGTAGGGGTTTAGGCGACCTTAGATAAACAAAAAACCCTAAAAACTTTAAACCCTAAACTCGATTTTTTAAGAAATTCTTATCACCTCAGTGAAGGTCGGGAGTGAACATCACTGAAATATACTAAACTACTGCAAAACCTCAGAATTAGAGTCAGACAATCCATTCATTCCTTCAGTGCATAACTTCCACGACTGACGGGATTGATCTGAGCGTGCAAATACAAAAGTGTAACGATTTATAAGGCACTTAGATTAGACCACGAGACATAGTATATTACCACATGTACTCACCAACATCAGTTTTACCCAAATTATGTTTTTCATGAATAAAAATTGGATGGTCGAAATTAGGGCAATCGTATAAACCGTGATATCCACTCAAGGAGATACAAAGCCAGTAATTGGCAGTCTCCATCTTCAAGGCATTAAGGCACTTCACTTCCTTGCCGGAGTTCTGGACTTCGATTTCTTCTTGGTGACACCAGCCTTGGCTACACGCAAGCTCTTGTGAACGGCAGCCAACCTGGCCAAAGCAGCTGACTTCAAATCGGCCCTGTACCCATTAGTGGCGACCTGTGTCCACGAACACGTTAAGATGGGTCAATGAATTGCAATGATTCATGATTTTAACAACACACGGCTAGTTTGAATTAATTTGTTAAATGACGTACAAAGTATCTACTCAACGACATGAGGACACACGCAGTCCATGTTAAGTTCAAATCTCCATGTGAAATTGAAGTACCTGGTTGACAACAGCCTTCGCCATCTTGCGGAAATCCTTCTTCAAAAGAGAGTTGTGACTCGACTTCGCGGGTTGAGATCTCTTCTTGGTTTTGGTTGTGGTCAGGAGCACTGAAAGACCCTCACTAGGTGCAATGGCCACAGTTTTCTTGTTTGCCAACCCTGTAAGTCAACCAACAATTGAGATTCGGAACCATACCTGAGATAATAACAAACGAAGATCAAGGCCCGCCACATCCAGTAATATGTGTGCGAGAGGGAACCTGAGTGCTTGAAGGTATTCAAGTTGTAAAGGTTGTTGGGCTCTGAGCTGAATTGAACACTGTTGCTGTTGTTCCCATTCATCTTCACCAAGAACCTATTGTTGTTCTTGACCAACAACCAGGTCAAGTCGTCTGATACAGCTGCCATCCTGGTCATTTGAAAAGGTAACAATTTAGGAAATAAATCCGTATACTGAAAACCCTACAATTCCATTCTATAAAACTATCCCAATCAGAGTTACTACAGCCCGAAAATCCGATTTATCCTTACAAAGTACCAGAAAAACCCTAAAATAAAGACCTAAAATAGTGGGGGTTTAACTAGGGTAGAAGATCATCGCTTTAAAATCTCCATACAATCAAAGGCACTGAATGCAACGATGCAAGAGTTCCCTCCAGAGCAAGTGCGGCTCAAAGAAATCAGGGGACAGGGAAGAAAAACCTAAATGGATAGCTACATATAATTCTAGAAACCCTCCACTAGAACCGCATCGATTCATAAAAAAAACAAAAAAAAAGTGTTCACGAGCACACTGGCGGTGAAACCATACAATGCACTACATTCTCGCCAACGGTTCGCAAAATAACATAAAATTCCCAGAACCTCAACTCAATGCACAAGTTCTTGTGACGACCACGGTCAACCCCAGAAAACATAACTCGCTGTCCACAACAGACAAAGAAAAACAAAACAAAACAAAAAAAACACATACACACACACACACACTAGAGCTTTAGCACCCGATTCAAATGCCGTTGGGAAGCGAAGGGAAAAACTACTCTTGTAGAATGTACAGAAGAAAACCTGAAAATTCGATGGACGCGTGAGGCCTGCGGCAAAGAGACGAGGGGACGGGTCCAGCAGCAGGTGCACAGACGCAAAGAGAGCGAGCTCGGAGTGGGCGGCTGCCCTAAGAACCTCCGTTCGCAACATACTGAATGAATGATTGAATGAATGACACTTCCCCTTCATCTGTAGGGTTTTGCATTCACATATCATCCAGGCCTCATGTCCCACCTCGGATTCGCAGCAATATATGGATGATCGGAAATGGATGATATGTAGATGAACTCCAGCAACTGTTTGTTTAGTTCCTTTCAAATGTTGTACGGGGTGAGTATGTGGTGGAGATGCCTACTCAAGTTTTTTTGGCAGAAGGCTTTCTTCACCAAGTCCAAAAGAAAAGTTGAGTGGTGTGTACAAAAGATGTAGTGATTCCATAAAAACGTAAATTCTTTATGTATGGACATGTATACATAAGTATTTACAAACACATGCATGGAATCCAATATTTACTTTCAAAGGTGAACATCATTATTGTAATAAACTAGTAAATATAAATATATATATATATATATATATATATACATACATTACCAGCTTATTTCTGAAATCAATCATTTAGTTTGAATTTAAGATAGAGAATGATGCATTGAATGGTTATGAATAGAAAGACATTTTAGAAGCTTAAAAGTGTAATAAAAAATGAGTGGTATCTTATTATTTATTTATGTGAGGTAGTATAAGGTACTTCGAAAGTTATGAAGCAGTGCGCATACACAATGTTGAAATATTACTATGGGACTTTTTCAATGTACTTGTTAGTCAATGATGTACTTGAATGTACATGGGAGTCTTGAATGTCAATTAGTCATGAATAAAAATAATAAAGTCAATTTTTTGTCCTTATTTTACTATTATTACGTTATATACAATCTAATAACAAAAAATGATTGTGGAATTACACAAGACGATAAATGATAAGGTAGTAATACAACCAAATGCAAATAGATATTAATGGTATTTTAAAAATATAGTAGAAAGAATAATATTGGTCATAGTTATATATAGTATTACCTCTACTAAATTATAGAATTAGTTTGCCTTCTTCACCATAAACTTATAGGGAGTTAAAGCTTATTGAGATTATCACATTATCAATTTGTTCAAAATATATTTTGTGTGTAAACTTGTTGCTTGCTTAATGCATCCCTCTATTGTAAGCCAATATCTTATCATTGCATGTAAGTCACAAAAAGCATGTCAACATATATCTTTCAAGTTTTAGGAAATTCACAAGGAAAGTATTCTAACCCATCTTGTTAAACTAAAATATTTGAATGGCATACCATAATAATGTTGTGCTTTACCAATATGCAATGGCTACAAATTTGCACGTAAAAAAATACACAATCTTTGATTTTGCAAATGACTCTTATTAAGTGAGCCAAAACTAAGTTTTAACCTTGTAAAGTACCCTCATAAGTCAGCATAAGGAAGATCTTAAAGAAACATGATGATTATAAAGTAATAGACAATGATCAACTTTAAACAAAATGTTCAAAGATGGTTTATTTTCTCAAACATAAAGAAGCACTTACTTTATGGATTTTCCAACGTCAAGCTTGAAATGTGATGTTATCATGAGAGATCATTAAGAAGTACAGTCGACATTTTGTAGAAATTCTTGTAATTCTTGAAGGTAAAATTGAGTTTTCAAATGGTTAATTTGAGAAGTTTCTTTCTTGCCACAAGCTGAAGGTTATTGAAATGCATGGATAGCAAGCTCAATTGATCAAGCTGATATTGATGCATTAATGCCTACTCTATACATCTATATTAAAAGCTATAATTTGTGTAATATTTATAATATGGATGAAACAAAATTGTTTTATAATATGGTACTAGACCAAACCATCGCTCAATAACAAATCACCAATTACAAAAAATAAAATACAAGGATCACCATTGTATTTACAAAAAATGCTAATAAAATCCTCAAGTTGTTGTTTTTCTCCATCAATTATGCCCATAAGCTTCACTGGTTCAATCACTACATATGCAAATAATTAGGCTTTTATTATTGTTCCAACAAAAAAATATAGATCATTGAGTTTTTTTTTTCAAGAATAGCTAAAAAAGTTCAATGAAGAGATGGAGAAGACATGACAATGGATCCTTCTCTTAATAGATAATGCACCATTGCATATTACAAATGATTCTGTGACTCCAAACGTTAACATTTGTGTGCTTTTTCTAAATAGTATATCAAAGATCCAACTAAAAGATGTTAAAATATTGTAACATTTAAGCGACACTATTAATGCTTTTATTTGCAAAATGCGCTTTCTTGAGATAAGCAAAATGAGCTCAACCTACACAAGGTCAATTAATTAACGACAATGTATTGGTCACTTTTGGCTTGCATAGAACTATCTCTAACAATAATAAAGAACTACTTTGGGTATATTAAGTTATTTGAGTAGGCATCCAAAGTTGCAAAAATTGACAATGATGAAGAAACAATCAAAAAGGAGTTGGTGGATATAATTTGGGGTCTTCCATTATGGAATCCAATGTCAATCAAGAATGTATTTAATCCAATTGAAAAGAATGATGCACATATTAAGCTAGATGATCATAAGATTCTTGAGCTTGTTTGTCATTGAAAAGTAGAAGAAGGCAAAGATGTTGATAACACCCTCAAAAAAGAGACAATAGTTGTATTATTCATGTGCACAAAAAAGTTATAAAGTCTTTTGTTATTATCTCCATGCTTCACATTGGAGATTTATGTGAATATGCTATTAACAAGACTCTTTGCAATATTTAGCAAAAATTACGTATAGAAGGTCTTTAGCAAAGCATACTCAATTTTTGGCTAAAATAGTGGCTCTTTTGCCTATTTGTGCTCCCTTCTGCTTTTCATGTCTCTACTTTTTTCCCTCTACAAAGTTATATATTTTAGTCAAGGCTATAACTGAGAATTTAAGAAAAATACAATATAAGTACCATAGAACCATGTTAGTTTTTCCATATTTTTATAATTTAATAAGAACTAAAACAAAGTAGGAGAGAACTTAGCAAAGATAATACAATATATATATATATATATATATATATATATATATATATATAAGACCATGCATAAGTTTTCTAAAAACTAAAAAACTTATATGCCAAGTATTTAAGTTGTAGGACATTTTTGATATAACTTCTTAGAAAAATATTTCTAACCAATTTGCACTAATATGGAACTAATCTACATCTAAAAAACATACTTGTTGTTTCTTATAATGAATATTATATATTTAACTTGTTTCTACTTATATCCGCATTGTTATATCAACTTCTATTAATTTAAGTAGTACATTAATCCATGATTATTATTATTAATTTATAATTTTAAAATCTATTTTTAACATTATATAGTAAATTTTAATATTTAAAATTTTAAAAAACCTAAGAAAAACTATTCAATATAATTTTTTATTTTATAATTAAATAATTATTATATATAAATATGAATTGCAACTTTATTCATATTTTAATTGAAGTAGATATGTTTCTTAATCCTTATAACAATCACTTAATTAAAATTAACAAATCATATCATAAATTTAATTATTAATAAACTAAATCAGACTAAATTATAAAATAATAAAAAAAATCTATGGAAATATCCATGAAAGTTGAACAATTATAATCTCAAGCCTTAATTAAACACTAACATATACCATCTATAATGGCAAACTATTGAATTTAAGTTTATCAATTGAAGATGTTTTTTAACCAAGAGTTGTACATATCATCTTGAAGTGTATATATGGTATACAAAAGACAACAAGTCGAAGAAGACATAGTTGAAAGATGAAATTTCGGTCTACAAAGACATAAGAGAACATAGTGTATATGAATGCATGATTAAAATCCAAAACATACATCTATTGTTTAATATTCATAATTTTTATAGAAATTTATAACATATATATATATATATATATATATATATATATATATATTAAATTAAGTCGTTTATACACAAGCTTTACTACATTTGGTTGAAGTTTTAAATGGACTAATTCAATAATTTATTTTTTTCACATTTAAAATCAATATATAACGAATATAAAATACTTTAGTTAAAAATAGATAGAAGCAACAAGTACCTATGTTATTTAAAATTGTTAATTTAAAAAATTAAAAGTACATTGATATTCATGTGATTACAAACCCTTCTAATGTAGGACACTGTTCTTCTTGTCCTGAATTCGATAATATAAACTACAAAACATCCACTAGCAAACACCATCACAAACATTGGTAGAAATCACTGAATTTCAGTCTACTAAATCAAAACCAAGCAAAACAAAGTTTATTTTGTCTCCTAGAAAGGCACACGGTAGTGTTTGAAGTGCAACACTTGCTTTAATGAAAAATTTATTCAACGACATTCAATAATGTTGTCTCATATATTCCGTCTAAATGTAGAACATAAGTTTGATTATTTAATAAACAATGTTCTACATTAGGCAAATTGTCCCCCAATAAAAGGGCTTGTGTATAAATATAAAACAGAAAGTTAATTTTCCAGGAGGTCACGACTGGCAAATAAGCTGTAGTAATGAAAAAAAAATTAAAAACACACAAGTCCTTGTCTAGTTGATTTGGACAGATGTTTGGAAGGAAAGATAATGGAGCACAAGACTGCAAGGTTCACCAATTCAAAACCCTGAAATACGAAAAGAGAATACCAAGACCAAACTCTGTCCTCCAAATCAAATCACAAAAACTGTGATTCACACCTTGCCAAGTCCACTGAAAACTATCTGCAGTGCAGGCAGCAGATATCTGCAGGATTTTCCCGAAGAGGTCAAAAGGAGTTGTAACCACAAACGAAACGCACTCACCCACAACCACACTCAATCTCAAACCAAGGTTAAGCGTTAAAATCTCCTTCCTCACGAGCGCCTCAGAACTACCTCCCCCAAAACTGCAGTAGGGTGGCGTGGGGTGGGATGAGATGGGCCGGCCTCGTCAGATCCGGGCTGGTATGGGGAAGGGGGGCTCAGGGGAAGAGCACACGGATGGCAGAGAGGGAGAGATGATGCGATGATGCGATGATGCAAGCGGGGTGAAGCATCTCGCCCCTGCCTGCTCTCATTCTCATGCTCCGCCCCGCTTTTCGCTGCTAAATCCTTGCGCCTCCACTGTGTGCTCCCCTGGTCTTGAATACGGGTTTAGTGGGTGGGTTCCTTCACACTGCTTTCCACGCCCCACTCTGTTTCATCGACCGAGAGTTGTGTGGCACTTCACTGCAGCAGCTCTTTGCGTGGTCCTGTTTCCCTCGGCGTCCACAGAGGTTGTGCACATTGTCCTCGACCTGTCCCAGTTCCGTTCGATACGTCCGTGGATCCGAGTGCGGTGTTGGTTGTTTGTTGTTTTGCAGATGTATGAGGAGGGGATGTTCAGACGCTGCTGTGTTGTGTGTATGAAGATCAGTGGTTGACGAGAGAGTGAGGTTGTGTTGGAATGTGGCAGTTTGTTTTCTTTTTTTACTGATGTGGGTTTTGTGGTGGTGAAGGTTTGTGGGTGCAGAAGTTGGCAGATATGGCGAAGGAAGGGGCGAGGCATTTGGTGAGCAACATTGGCGGAGTTTTGCCGAAACATGAGGTCCTCAAGTCGACTGAAGAGTACGTTTCGTTCTTGTTGCATCTTTCTTGCTTGGTTGAGGCGTAAATTAGGTGCTTGGGATCTGTGTTGTAGTCGATGGAAGGGTTGTTGTGTGCATGCTCCTTTGCATGCATTTCTTCGCCATTGTAGGATCGGTTGTTTTGGGGGCTTGGGGACGGCTTCCAGGTTGTCGCGAGTCTGCTCAGTGCATTCTTTCAAGTTGCTACTAGCTGCCGGTGTTCGATTCCGTTCACGTCATAGAACATGTGATGAGAAATCCGTTAACGCTATTGGGTAGCCATCGACGAGCAGGACGTTACAGACCTGGTATAGGACAGTGGTGTGCAGAATTAGTTCATGAGATCACTTGGCCATTGTTTGGAGGTGGTAGGACTGCTAGTCGGCGTGTGTCAACGTACTGCGAATCAAGCAAGATCCAGTGGGCGGGCAACATGTATCCGGGATTGTCAAGAAGAGCTACTATATAGCAGCGTTTATGGTGAGGTTGGAGAGAATGTCGGAGTTGTGGGAGGTAACAGATGTGTCTGGCGTGGTGATGCAGGTACGAGAAGTATCATGCTATGCACGGAGGCGACAAAGAAGCAAGAAAGAGCAATTACACTGACATGGTGAGCTCGTTTTACTTTTCGCGTGTGCATCGGTCTTGAGGTCGTGCAGGTGATTATAGTTTTGGTTTGCTGTTTCTCCTTGTAGTGTGTTGTGTTTTGCGGCAGTGTTTGTGGATGGTCCTCTGACAGCGGTTAATGTGGAGATCGGATAGGGGATGTTACTTTGCGGAGTATACAAGCCTCACTTTTGTCTGTTGCCTTTGTTGTCAGGTGAACAAGTACTACGACCTTGTTAACAGCTTCTACGAGTATGGGTGGGGAGAGTCTTACCACTTTGCCAACAGGTGATTATTAACGTCTGCTTGGTCTCAAATCGTGGAACATGGTCGGAACACTTGTATAGCCTAAGATGACTCGGGTCCGGATCCAACATTTCCACCGACTTCCAGGTTCAAGGGAACAAGGCGGCATTTGTGGGACTCTTGGGTTTCACATCGTGCATCTTTCTGACAAAGCTGTAGAGAGTTACACTATCACCCTGAAATTCAGGAGTGGTGGGCAGCGTAGTTCGTTCCTAGTTCCTGCCAAGGAGGAGTTGTCGGAATAATCTGCGTTGGTTGTTTATTTTTGTGGAAGTGCAGTACTGCGTTACTACAGAGTGTGTACGAACGTGTTTGATACTTGTATTTATTGGGTCAATCACAACCTCACACGTGAGTGCCATGAGGAAAGCTTTATCTCGTTAATCTGAGCCTGGAAGGCCTGAAGAGAACTCTGCCATTCAATGTGTCTGAGCGTTCTGTGGTAGTGTTGTGTCGACGTTTAGTGTTAGATGATTTTGTTATTTACATGATACTCTTCGAGAGTTCTGCAAGCAGCACGTGCCAAGCATTGTCATGGCTCATCTGAATGTATGATGTTATTAACCGCAGATGGCGCGGGGAAACGCTTCGTGAAAGCATTAAACGACACGAGCATTTTCTGGCTTTGCATCTTCATTTGAAACCAGGAATGAAGGTAGCATTTTGTTGCTGTGTCGTGAATGCTGTCGATAGTGCGGGTAACAGGCGTGAGCAGGTTGTATCGTGGTTGAGTGCTTGTGGTGGGGTGGGTACTCCCGTTTCTGGAATAGTGTGTGGTACAGTTGGATTCTGTGAAGCGGTGCAATTTTGAGCAACGCTGGCCTTGAATGTATGAGGAGGTTTCTGACACGATTACTGGCTTGGTCAGGTGTTGGATGTCGGGTGTGGAATTGGTGGTCCTGCTCGTGGAATCGCGGCATTTAGGCGAGTTCTCTGCTTTTCCACTCTGAACTAGGCAACGTGTTAGGCATGTGAGTTGTTTTAGGAGGTTTTGGAGATGGGGTCGGTTGGTTGATCCAGTTAGTTTGATTGACGCGCAAGGACGCATCACCTGTCAGCAAGATGTGATACATGTTGAAAACATCTAACAGATCGAAAATTGACCTTGTGGTGTGTGCACTGACTTGTGTACTTCAGTGGAGCCTCAGTGACTGGTCTAAACAACAATGACACTCAAATTGCGCGTGGCAAGGTATACTTGTGCTAAGTACTACACAGGGCAGTATCTTTAGTGTAGCAGCATGTTTTGTGTAGTTGTCCGGACTGATAGTTTGGAGTTTCGGGTGTGCATTGACGAAGCTGGATGTGATTGGGTGTTCAGGTTTTGACTGAGAAAGCTGGGCTGAGTCATCTTGTTGACTACATGAAGGTAAGGGTCTTTGCAGTACCTTCCCAACACAGTTTGAATTTGTAGGGACTTGGGAGACCTGAGAGGGTAGCGTATGCTAGAACTGTAGTTTCCGGCAACATTGGGAACATATGCTGAATGATGGTACCTTTAGGATTTGGAGGATTATCGTGTTGGAGATTTGATGCGAATGTTAGTGTCGGTGCAAGAGATGCTGAATCTGTGATGATTTTGTTTCGTTGGCACATGGTTCAAAGATTACAGCATTTGCTCAGAATGGGTGACCTGTTGCGGTGTCATGCAGGCCGATTTTATGAAGATACCGGTTGCGGACAACACGTATGATGCCGTTTACACCATTGAGGCTTCCTGTCACGCTCCCGATCCAGTAAGTAGCATTTGGTCATGGTGGCGTGGCTGAAGGAAGTAAGTGAGACCAGTCGGATGTGGATGTTTACTTTGGTGGAGGAATTGTGGAACCGTGTAGATTGATGTGTGCATTTTGACGAATCATGTTCAGGTGGCGTGTTATTCAGAGATTCGGAGAGTTCTGAAACCTGGGCAACTCTTTGCTGGTTACGAGTGGTGCATAACTGACGCGTATAATCCTGGAAACAAGGATCACAAACGCATCAAGGTATTATCCTACACTGCATGAAACACAGCGATTCCCAAGTAGTGCGACATACAGTTGTGATGTGAGGAAGTAGCGTGTTCGTCCGGGAGTTTGCACAGAAGAGAACAGCGGAACACGGCGGAGTGGTGAACGCGGGAGAAGGTGGAGAGAAATGTTAGGGTGCCTTAGTGTAGAGTTGTGTCGTGAGAATGAGCAGGTATTTGATGATTCATGTTGCGTATGAAGCAGTTGTTTATGGTTGAATTTGGTTGCGCAGGAAGAGATTGAACTCGGAAATGGTCTTCCTGACATTCGGTCCACACGTCAGGTTCTTCAAGCCCTGAAAGACGCAGGATTTGAGGTTCGATCTCGTACTTTTCTAGCTTGAGTTAACAGGGATCAATATGTGAACATGGAAGTCTATTTCGATCTCCAGTGAAGAAAATGGAGAAGGCATGAATAGCCTGTACGCTTGCACCCAGACCGCGTCGACATATAGATGCTCATTGATTGTCGCACTGCCAAGGGCAACTTGTATTGTTGGTTTCCAAGTAATCTAGTATGTATCGATTTGAGTTGACGTCTTTTCTTGAAGAAGTAGCAAGCGTGGCAGAACTTGGATTGTAGTTGGTGGCGGGTTGGTTTTGGTACAGGATGATGACGATGTGTTTGGTTTGGTTGTTTGGCCGTTGATTGATCAGATTCTCATGGAAGAGGATTTGGCAAAACATTCGCAAGTGCCGTGGTATCAGCCTTTGGATCCCAACCATTTCTCACTTTCCACTCTTCGGCTTACCCCGATCGGGCGGTTCTTCACTCATAACATGGTTTGTTATTCTTTTGAATCTGCTGTCAACTTTTGATTGGGTGGTAATCATTCCATGCAAATGTGAAGGATGCGTAGGAAGTCAGCGGAGAGTTTATCCGCTTGAGCGGGAAACAACAATCTGGTGTGAGCAGCATTTGTAAACAAGAGCGGGTATAAGTATTGATGTTTGGATGTGGTTCAGTCTTCTGGTACTGATGCTTGGTTTGTTTTTGCGTGGTTGGCTGGGGAACTTGGAACGTGCAGGTGCGTGTGTTGGAAGCTTTGAAAATCGCTCCGGAGGGGAGCGCCAGAGTAAGCACTTTCTTGGAGCAGGGGATGTTCGGACTTGTGGACGGTGGTCGGTGAGTTCCCTTACCGAACGGTTGAATTTGTGCGACATTCTGGACGGTGCGCTTGTTCCAGTGTTGAGGGCATTTTAATGAATGCTGTACCTTGTGTGTTGCAGAATGGAAGTCTTCACGCCCATGTACTACTTTTTGGTGCGGAAACCCTTAGAGTCGAGTTAGTGGAGACAGAAAATTAGGAACAGGAAATGATGCAAATTTATGGATGATTGAAGCATGTAGCTTAATATGGATGGATCACAATGGAAGTCCAAGATTGGATGTCAAGGTTTATCATGTCATAGTTAGTCGATTAGACATCGGCGGGTGAGCTTGGATTCAGAATTTCGAATTAGCAGTGAAAGTGCATCCGTTGGTGCAAAATCGGGCGTTTGACTAGTTTGTGAAAGGGACCGTTGTGATCACATTGCCCAACAGCATTCTTCAGGTGTAGGATATGTTGGGATGCAAGCGTGCTGCAGAATGGGCTATTTGAGCTACCGCACAGGCACGGTCTGATATTGATCTATAGAAAGGAACACATGTTTTTACAACAGTAGCGTTCACATCTGTAATGCTGCATGGACTTGGAATTAGTTGAGTTGTTGCGGCAATTTCCACCTATCAGAACTGGCGTGGTGTCGTGAGCATGTGCGAATGTGAAGTACTGGTGAGGATCAGATTTTTGTGTCGCATTGAATGGTACATTAGAGGTTGACTTGCTGAATACAGTTTTTTAAGATGAGTGATTGAACGTTTGAACTGGTAAAGTAAAAGATTCAGTCGAGTCGCGGAGAGTGATGCAGCTAAACAACCATCGTTGTCGGCGAGCATGGACAGTGGAGGTTTCCAGCTGTGTCACATGGCTGAGATAAATTGGGATTACCGTTTTGGAGTGACGGTGACGAGGAGGATGATGAGCAGGACGATAATGAGCAATGTAACGCCGATGCACGTCCACTACCTGTTGTTTTTGTGATAAAGCACTGCGACCTGCACTTGCCTAGTTCCTCGAGCTCTGTGATTACGATTTGGTCATAATTGATTCAATATATTTAATTCGCTCTTTTAGGACTTGAACCAAGGACGACATGGTTTCGAATATCTGTCTCAACTCAGCTAGGTTCTTCTTTATGTTGTTTTTCAGCATCGTCGCGTTCTTGAATTTCTTTTATCGTATCCACCGATTGGCCTCTCCCTTGCTCCCGAATTGCTCTTCGAAGCTACATCTCACTGTTTCCAGTTTGAATGAGACGTAGCTTTAGTGTCTTCGTCCGCATTTTCGCCTGTGAGTGCGCGATACCTATAGCATTGTGTGGAATTTCAAGTCCCATTCAGCAGTGCTTTGGAAGACACAAAAGTCTTCTCTTTAGGCAGTATCATGGTGCAATCGAAGAACTTTATGACGATGAGTAAGATTTTGTATTCCCACTGATTACCAACGCACCACATTGCAAATGTCTGCTGATTGCTGCAATGCGTCAAAGGCAACTGAGATATGAGGAAATGGGACTGTGTTCAAACTCAGCTATGAAGCACTAGCCCATACTGAGCTGATAAATTGTTGCGAAATCATGTGCCCACATCGTAAACACAAATGTAAGCTGGGAGAAGACCAGGGCACAGTTCCAAGGTTGCACCAATTCAGGTGACGCGGTTTCTCATCCATGCGGTCTACAATGTGTACAACTAAGTTCCGATGTACTGGAAGGTACTATGACATAACGTCGACTACTCATAGATGATCGCCGGCAATCAAAGCGAGGTTACTCAAGCGGACATGAACACACCGAAGGTCGTCAATGTCCTCATGGGGGATGTATGACAGACACAGTGTTGATACAGAGCAGAAACGGAAGCCAATGCTTACCGCCGTGCCAGTCTCCTTGTATTCTTGCATCATGTTGTGCCGAAGGATGGGAAATTGTTGCCTCAGATCCTTGAGATTCTTTCGCAATGTTCTGGTCATGGATGTTCGGGTCAGGTCGCCACTTGATCTTCAAGCATGTAAGAAAAAGAACATTAACAATAAAATAAAGCATGAAGTATATTAATAAAATAACTTGATTACATCATATATTCATAAGAGCCTTTTATATTGTCTTGCTAATAGAAGTAATTGTAACTTCTTCATAACTACTTTGTAACTACTTAAAAGGTAATTCTATATTTACTAACATGTATTAATTTATCTAATATATATTAGTAAATCTAACACCTCCTTTAATCATCATAGACTAGATTTTATTTGAATTGTCCATGTTAATTAAATCTTTTATGAAATAGATGGGTTTTGGAAGTGACTTTGTCATTATATCTGTCTTTATTTCATTTGTAGGAATGAACTCGAAGAGAACTTTATTTGCCTTTACTTTGTCTCCAATGAAATGGTACTTGATATCAATATGTTTTGTGCAATCATAGAAACATGGATTTTGTGTCATTGCAATACATGATTGATTATCATAACAAATTATGCTTAGTAAAGTTACTTAATATCTAATTTCTTTGAAAAGAGTTTGAAGCCATATCAATTCTTTTAAAGGTGTTGTCACTGCAATATATTCTACTTTTGTACTTGATTGTGTTACCATGGCCTATTTCTTGGAATGCCAACTCAAAAGAGATGAGTTGAGGTAAAACAAGTATCTGGAAGTAGATTTTTGAATATCTAGATCTTTGCATAATCTCCATCACTCTAACCATGAAATTGTGGTAAAGAGGTGGAAGAAGAACTCAAATAACATAGTCCAAAATTTTGAATCCCTTTGAAATAATGGAGTATGTATTTTAAAGCTATCCAATGAATTGGACTAGGCTTAGCCATAAATTTTAACATATGATATACAATGTTGTATTAGTGAAGTCTTACTTGAAAATGCGTCGGGCATTTGGCTATAGAAGGTAAAAGAAATTTGCAACAATAAGTCCTAAAAACTCTAATAGAATCATATATAAATTACAATTAAAGCTTATCAAACATAATCAAACATTGATAAAGCCTAATTAAATTTTCAAATAAATTATAAAAAATACACAAAGAAATCATAAAGAAATAATAAAAAATCCTAAAAAAACCTAAAAAAATCTTAAAGAAATAAAAAAACAAATTCTTAAAGAAATCTTAAAGAAATCTAAAAAAAATCCATAAGAACCTTACAAAAAACCTTATGAATTCTAAAGAAATCCTAAAGAACCTTACAAAAAACCTTATGAATTCTAAAGAAATCCTAAAGAAATCCTTCAAAAGTTCAAAAAAATCCTAAATCTCAAATCAATTCTAATTAGATTCTAAATCCTAAATCAATCCAAATTAAATCATAAATCCTAAATCAAATCTTAATAAAATCTTAAATTCTAAATCAAATCTTTATCAATTCTTAAATAAATTCTAACCAAAATCTAACCAATTCAAACTAATTCTAGGACAAATTTAGAACCTCAATATCTATTGACTAAATTATTGAACTTGCTTAAAATTTATACACTTCTTAATCTTTTAGTTAATAACAAGTACAAAAAATTTGAAAAGAATTGAACTTACAATATGGGAGAATTACATCACAATCCACTCAAGTATCAATTGGCTTCCATCTTTGACCTTAATATTGATCTTTTAGTAGTAATAACTCCTAATTTAACTTTTAAATTGCTCTCAAATTTTACAAAGGTGTTGGAAGTCAAGTCAATTAATAGCTCGAATAAAAATCACCTCATTCCAATTAGAAAATTGTTGTAAATCTTAGATAACCTTATTAGACCTAAAAATCCAATTTTAGAAATTTTAACCCACTTGAACCTCAATAACCTCCAATTTAATCATTCAATTAAGCTCAAATTTACATTATATATTCATTACAACTATATTCACAATTTCACAAAATTTCACTTGTAGATCTACTACAAAGCTTATAAAATTGCCCAAATTGTAAATCCTATTTTATTTTATAAAATCCAAAGTCACTTAGAATAACTCTAATTTTGAAAAGCTCTTGAAAATTCATTATAAATTCAAATTTCTTGAAACTAATGCTTTAAGAAATCTTATGAAGTCTTCTTTCAAAACTCATTCTCCAATTTGCAAAAAAATTCCGAAATTGCCATAGGTGTATGATTTTGTGCCTCACGATTTGATTTTAATTCAAGTTAACTACTAGTCCTCTTCAAGTATCAATTTTTGTCTTCTTGAGGTATTTTTTGCTAAAATAAAATTCTAATTTTTCTCCATATATGCTTATATTCTTTAATTTTCTAATCTACCTTATTTTGCCTTATTTATGGTCCTACAAAGTAAATAGAAGACTCCTTTGTAAAAATGCAACATTTGCACATTTAGTTTTATTATCTTTTGACTATTATCTATGTTTTTAAGATTATTTAAAATAAGATCTTCTAAAATATAATATTTTCTTCACTCTTTCATCTATTAGCCATATTGTATTATGACAATGGCTAAAGTTAAGTCATACTTAATACAACTGACAAGATATTATAGACTTCTAACGATGTGTGTATATGGAATTGATTCCATAAATTCAATATCTTCCTCCTTCCTCCCTTCATGACATCAAGACCTTGAAAAAAGTAAATATTAGCTTCAAGAAGAGTAGAAATGGCATAGCAATCACTCATATAAGAACAGTTTAATACATACAATATATGTTTGTCTTAAAAAAATATCAAAGTACAAGTGGAATGATTATGACAAATTTAAGTATTTAAAATGTATTCAATTTTGTTGCTGTCTATCATAAAAAGATAGAAAGAAAAGAATGATTTGATCAAAATGAGATAAGAAAAATCATTTGAAATTAAAACTAGATCATCAATATAAAGTTCAAAGTAGATAATGGATGTAAAAAAGTATTTTTAATAAACATTGATATCTGAAATATATTTTGAAAACCCATTAGTGATCAAAAAGTCATCAAATAGATCATACCATATACAAGGAGCTTATTTTAAACCATATAAGGATTTAAATAAATAAAATATCTTATTTTTATAATTGGATACTACAAAGCCTTTGGGTTGAGTGATGTAAATTTCTTCTTTAAGAACATCATTAAAGAAAGGTGTAATGACATCCATTTGATGAATATAAAAATATTAATAAGTAACTAAAGCAAGAAGAAGATGGAATGATATTATTTCAATGATAGGAGAGAAAGTCTCATGATAATCAAGGCCTTCTTGTTGCAAGAAACCTCAAGCAACAAAATGTGCCTTAGAGTGGATTAAAGAACCATCAAAATTATATTTTCAATGGAATAGCCATTTAGTGCATATAATAGAGCAATTAGAAGGATGAAGGACCAACTTCCATATGCCATTCTCAATTAAAGAATTATATTCACTTTTCATAGTTAGATGCCAATTAGAGGCATCTTCACTTATTAGTGCTTCACAAATCAAAAGTGGATGTGCCAAGGTGGCTAAAAATCTACTAACATATAAAGTAGTATTGTTATATTTGGATGCTTGCCAAGTCCTACAAGTGATCCATGTAAATCATTGAAATAGTTGTCTTTTAAAAAATCCCATGGCACATCAATGAGAGATACAATAGAAAAAGAAGGCATAGAACTAAGAGCGCTAATAATCTCATCATTAAATGAAAGAAG